TTACCTAATTCCTTTTATGAAGCTACAGTTACTCTGATACCAAAACCACACAAAGACTCAACCAGGAAAGAGAATTACAGGCCAATCTAACTCATGAACATCGACGCAAAATCCTCAACAAAATACTGGCAAACCGAATCCAAGAACATATTAGAAAAATTATACATTATGATCAAGTAGGCTTCATTCCTGAGATGCAGGACTGGTTCAACATACGAAAATCTATCAATGTAATCCAGCATATAAATAAACTGAAAGAAAAAAACCATATGATCATCTCATTAGATGCTGAAAAAGCATTCGACAAAATTCAACATCCATTTATGTTAAAAGTATTGGAGAGATTAGGGATACAAGGGTCATACCTAAATATAATAAAAGCTATATACAGCAAGCCGACAGCTAACATCAAATTAAACGGAGAGAAACTCAAAGCCATCACGCTTAACTCAGGAACACGACAAGGCTGTCCACTCTCGCCATACCTCTTCAATAATGTGCTTGAAGTTCTAGCAATAGCAATAAGACAACATAATGGGATCAAGGGGATTCGAATTGGAAAGGAAGAAGTTAAACTTTCGTTATTCGCAGATGATATGATAGTGTACTTAAGCGACCCCCAAAACTCCACCAAAGAACTTTTACAGCTGATAAACAGCTTTAGTAATGTGGCAGGATACAAGATCAACTCCAAAAAATCAGTCACCCTCTTATACACAAAGGAGAAATCAGAGAAGCTTCACCATTCACGATAGCCACAAACAGCATGAAATATCTTGGGGTAAATCTAACCAAGGAAGTGAAAGATCTATTTGACAAGAACTTTAAGGTGTTGAAAAAAGAAATTGAAGAGGATACCAAAAAATGGATGGACCTCCCTTGCTCTTGGATTGGGAGGATCAACACAGTAAAAATGGCAATTCTACCTAAGGCAATTTATAGATTCAATGCAATCCCCATCAAGATCCCATCAAAATTCTTCACTGATCTGGAAAGGACAATAATCAACTTTATATGGAAAAAACAAAAAACCCAGGATAGCCAAACAATCCTATACAATAAAGGATCTTCTGGAGGCATTACCATCCCTGACTTCAAACTCTATTACAGAGCTACAGTAATGAAAACAGTGTGATACTGGCATAAAAACAGAGAAGTCAACCAATGGAATCGTATAGAAGACCCGGATTTTAACCCACAAACCTATGAACACCTCATTTTTGATAAAGGAGCTAAAAGTATACAATGGAAGAAAGAAAGCATCTTCAACAAATGGTGCTGGCACAACTGGATGTCAACCTGTAGAAGAATGAAAATAGACCCATATCTATCACCGTGCACAAAACTCAAGTCCAAATGGATTAAAGACCTCAATATCAGCCTGAACACACTGAACCTGATAGAAGAGAAAGTGGGAAATACCCTACAACAGATGGGCACAGGAGATCGCTTCCTATGTATAACCCCAGAAGCACAGACATTAAGGGCAACATTGAATAAATGGGACCTACTAAAACTGAGAAGCTTCTGTAAAGCAAGGGACACTGTCACTAAGACACAAAGGCAACCTACTGACTGGGAGAAGATCTTCACCAACCCCGCAACAGACAAAGGTCTGATCTCCAAAATATATAGAGAACTCAAGAAACTAGAGTTTAAAATGCTAATCAACCCAATTAAAAAATGGGGCACTGAACTGAACAGAAAATTCTCAACAGAAGAAGTTCAAATGGCCAAAAGACACTTAAGGTCGTGCTCAACTTCCTTAGCAATCAGGGAAATGCAAATCAAAACAACTTTGAGATATCATCTTACACCTGTCAGAATGGCTAAAGTCAAAAACACCAAGGATAGCCTTTGCTGGAGAGGCTATGGAGGAAGGGGTACCCTCATCCATTGCTGGTGGGAATGCAATCTTGTGCAACCACTTTGGAAGTCAGTGTTTCGGTTTCTCAGGAAATTCGGGATCAACCTACCCCTGGACCCAGCATTACCACTCTTGGGAATATACCCAAGAGATGCCCTATCATATGACAAAAGCATTTGTTCAACTATGTTCATAGCAGTATTATTTGTAATAGCCAGAACCTGTAAACAACCTAGATGCCCTTCAATGGAAGAATGGATGAAGAAAGTATGGAATATATACACATGTATATACTATGCTGCGGTAAAAAACAATGACTTCTCGAACTTTGCATGCAAATGGATGGAAATAGAAAACACTATCCTGAGTGAGGTATCCCAGACCCAAAAAGATGAACATGGGATGTACTCACTCATAATTGGTTTCTAGCCATAAATAAGGGTCACGGAGTCTCCAATAGGTGAATCTAAAGAAGCTAAGTAAGAAGGGGAACCCTAGGAAAAACATATAGTTATCCTCTTGGCTAAGGGAAGTAGACAAAATTGCCGGGGAGAAAATTGGGATCATGGGGGTGGGGTGGGTTGGGGGTAAGGGGAGATGGGGAAAAAAAAGTTAGAATGGAAGGAGGTCGGGCCTTGGGAAAACAGGAGGATTGGGATAAAGGAAGGTTGGACAGGGGAGCACGGATCCACAATTCTTAGTTAAGGGAGCCACTTTAGGGTTGGCAAGAGACCTGACCCTAGTGGGGCCCCCAGGTGCCCAAGCCGAGGTCCCCAGTTAGTTCCTTGGGCAGCTGAGGATAGGGAACCTGAAATGACCCTATCCTAGAGCAATACTGACGAATATCTTGCATATCATCATAGAACCTTCATCTGGTGATGGATGGAGATAGAGACAGAGACCCACACTGGAGCACTGGACTGAGCTCCCAAGGTCCCAATGAGGAGCAGAAGGAGGGAGAACATGAGCAAAGAAGTTGGGACCACGAGGGGTGCACCCACCCACTGAGACAGTGGAGCTGATCTATTGGGAGCTCACCAAGGTCAGCTGGACTGTGACTGAAAAAGCATGGGATAAAACTGGACTCTCTGAACATGGCGAACAATGGGGGCTGATGAGATGCAAAGGACAATGGCACGGGGTTTTGATCCTACGAAATGTGATGGCTTAGTGGGAGCCTAGCCAGTTTGGATGTTCACCTTCCTAGATATGGACGGAGGGGGGAGGTCCTAGGACTTACCACAGGGCAGAAAACCCTGACTGCTCTTTGGACTGGAGAGGGAGGGGGAGAGGAGTGGGGGGAGCGGGAGAAGGGTGGGAGGAGGGGGCCTAGGGTGGGAGGAGGGGGAGGGAAATGGGAGGCTGGGAGGAGGTGGAAACTTGTTTTTTTTTTCTCCTTTTCTCAATAAAAAAAAGAAGAAAAAAAGAAAAGAAAATTTTTTATGTATTATAATATAAAGCATATTATAGGTATACCAAATAATCTTACAGGTCAGAGAGTTATAGAAAGGTCAAATTGAACTATAAAGGATATGCTAAACAAACAGAAAGGGACGGAAAATACCCCCAGAAATAGATTATTAACCTTGAAATTTTTTAATGCTAATGAGAAAGGAACAACAGCAACAGAGAGACATTGGATATGGAAAAAAACTCTGAATTGAATCAACCAGTATATTTCAAAGATGTGTTGACCTCACAATGGAAACCAGATGTGCTATGTAAGGGAAGGGGTTTTGCTCGTTTCCACAGAAGAAAAACTATGGATACCATCAAAACTAATAAAGATTTGCTTTGAAAAAGAGAAACCTTTTGAAAAAGAGAAATGACAGCTCATCTACAATGGTGACAACCATACAGGTGGTAAGGAAACCACATAGGGTTGGGCAGGGTTCTGCTCGTCTTTACAAGAAAATTCACATCTTCAAAAATTCAGGAGACCCTGGATGTTTGGATGCTGACAAAGGAAAAATAACTATTCACTAAGGATCATCGAGAAAAAGGAATATGACTTATGAGGACAGCTGATCAAAATAAATACATTTAAATATATATTTATGAAATATAGAGCTGGCTTTGGAGTTGGACAATGGCTCTGTACTTCTCTAAATCCAAGTGTGTTGTTAAAAGGAACATTAAGAGTTTCTGTCTCATGTCAGGAGCCATCTGGTATGGGACAGAAGGAAAACTGGACTGAATGCTGGGAGAAAGGAGGTGGAGTCAGGGAGAAGCCATGGGGCCACCACCAGAGACAGACATGCTGAAACTTTGCTGGTAGGCCATGACCTCGTGGTGATGCACAGATTAATGAAGATGGGTTAAGATGTAAGAATTAGTCAATAAGAAGCTAGAGCTATTGGTCAAACAGTGTTGCAAATAATATGGTTTCTGTGTGATTATTTCAGGGCTGTGCAGCCCAGGAACAAACAAGCAGGCCTCCTTACAAGGAAGAGAGGAAGGGAGGGAAGGAAGGATGAAAGAACATACAAACAAACAAATGAAAACACAGCAATGCTAAGAGAGCTTGCTCTCAAGCATGAGAACCCGTGTTCAAATCCCCACCATCCATGTAACAGCCTGGCACAGATGCATGTGCCTGGAACTCCAGCACTGAACGGTAGACACGGGTAGATCTGAATAGTCTGATGGCCCAGGTAGCCAAAACAGCAAGCTTCGGGTTCAGCGAGAGACACTAAAGCAGGGGAGGATGTCCACACCCTTCTCTGGCTTCTTCTTCTTCACTCATCATGTGTCACACATACAGCTGCATGTCCAGCTGCACGTATGTCAAACAGCACACACACAAAGTAAGAAATAAACATTTTAAGCCTGGGTAGTTGGTTCAGCAGTTAAGATTCACATAAAGGATCTGAGTTCAGTCCCCACCTCTCAACGGCCTGTAATTCCAGATAAACTATTCTGTATTAACACCCAAAAACAGCAGTGTTACTCCAACAGACTTTAGAGATCTTAAAACCAAGAACCCTTAGAACCCTTATAAAAGGAGAAAATAAGGAGACAAACTATAATGTAAATTTTTTTCCCAAACAATTTTAATTTTGTTCCAGCCCTAAGGAAGAGAAAGAACTTTTTGAGACAGGGTCTCACCAATGTAGTCCTAGCTAGCCTGGAACTCCCTATGCAGGATCAGGCTGGCCTTGAACTCACAGAGATCTACCTTCCTCTGCCTCCCACCACACCCATTAGAACTTAAATCTAAAAATTTTAAAAAAAAAAAAAAAGCTCGAAAATCAAGCCATAAAAAAGTTAAGTCCCTTGGCAATAAATAGTAAAGATATATACATACATATGAGACTCAGAAAGGAGGGAAGAACAGGGATCTTGGGAACTGTCAAAACATCTCAGGACTTGGGGAAAAGTCTCCCCTAACGGGTCCATCAGTGCTCGTTCTTCCTGTAGTCAGCACAGCTGAAGAGGCAGGGGAATAAATATGGTGGTAATGGCTCTGAAGAGGGAGAAGAAAGAGAAGTCTCCGTTCACAACACTCCCTCCACCAGGTCATTCACACTGTGGCCTCGAAGCCACGGTGGCAGTGGCTTGGCTGCTGGAGTTCTGTGGCTTTCCATTCACCACCAGCAGGAGGGGCGTTTCCACGCGAACACTGGAGAAGGAGTAGTTCTAGAAAAGACAGACCAGGTCAGCAAAGCAGCCTAAGCCGTCTACCCCGCCCCCCGCACGTGTGCCCCTTATCTCTGTCTTACACTGGAGAAAACTGAATCAGCAAAGGAGACAGCCTGAGACCGACAGAGCATCAATAATGTGATTACAGGAATATGACAAAAAGAGTAAACTGTTTGCACCGCCTGAGAAAAGGGAGCCATAAGCTCTCTGAGAATCTGCCCTTCTCTTTCTAGACAGAGATAGTAGCCAGCCAGAACCACGGGAATTTGCTAGTCTGTAAAGCCCCAAATTAACCTGCCAAATACAAATTAAGAATACTTCTTTTATGTTAATGAGGAACGAACAATGTAAAGGAATTTTGTTTTTTGAGACAGCGTTTCTCTGTAGCTTTGGAGCCTGTCCTGGAACTTGTTCTGTAGACCAGGCTGGCCTTGAACTCACAGAGATCCACCTGCCTCTGCTCACCTAGTGCTGAGATTAAAGGTGTATGCCACCACCACCCAGCTATGTAAAAGAATTTAAGCCTTGTCCTAATAACAGGAAAGGTACCAGCTCAGAAGGATGCTGAGCTGTGTGGCCTACTGAAGACGCCTCCTCAGGAAACGCTTGATTGACATTGTGGAACAGGCTCTTTTAAGAAACAGTAAAATTCTCACAAGTATTATTTTTTTTTACAAAGTCCCAACAAGAATATGGGCAAGTATAGGGGGTATTAAAAGCGATTCATATGCAAACATAATCGATAAACTTATAGTAAAATGCATGTAAAAATCAAATGGATACATTTTTGGTGCTATTATCTTCCAACCAGTTTGAAACTGTGTTTCAGTGTTCAGAAGAAAATTACAGGGCTGGAGATGGGCAGCAGTTAAAGCTCGCACTGCTCTTCCAGAGGAGCCAACATCAGGCAGCTCACAGCTGTCTACAGCTCCAGTTCCAGGGCCTCCAAGGGTACAGTTAAAGCTCGCACTGCTCTTCCAGAGGAGCCAACATCAGGCAGCTCACAGCTGTCTACAGCTCCAGTTCCAGGGCCTCCAAGGGTACAGTTAAAGCTCGCACTGCTCTTCCAGAGGAACCAACATCAGGCAGCTCACAGCTGTCTACAGCTCCAGTTCCAGGGCCTCCAAGGGTACAGTTAAAGCTCGCACTGCTCTTCCAGAGGAACCAACATCAGGCAGCTCACAGCTGTCTACAGCTCCAGTTCCAGGGCCTCCAAGGGTACCAAGCACATGCATGATGCAATACATACATGCAGGCAAACCATCCATCCACATTAAAATACAGTAATATATGAATATATATATGCCAGGCGTGGTGGCGCACACAGAGGCAGAACCTCTGTGAGTTCAGTTTAGTCTATACAGTGAGTTCTAGGAAGCCAGGGCTATGTAGAGAGATCCTGTCTCAAAAAAAAACTGAGATGTGTTCACTAGTTATCACTAGAATATCCAGGAGATATTTCAGCCCATTCTTTAATTCCTTTTGGCATATGAGTAGTTTCCTTTACAGTAAATACAGTAAATATCTGTGTGTGATCTATTTGCATATTTATATATGTAAATAGATGTACATGTTTATATATACATATTTATGTATAAGTACAAATACATATTACACATGCAAGGATACATGTGCGTAAATAATACACGTGAAAGCACACATATGTGTAAATAATATATACATGTAAAGCATATATCTTATACATGTAAATAACATACATATCACACATGTGTAGATAAGATATACACACTATACACATGCATTACTTTTACTTCTAATGGTTTTTTTTTTGGGGGGGGGGGTTGGAGACAGGGCTTCTACTTCTGTTTTAAAGAGAGTTCCAGGGCCTGTGAGTTACACAGACTCCTGGACATCACTCACCTTTCCCTTGTGCTGAATTTGGTGATGCCGCAGGTTGGGCTCCGGAATGGCGACGGAGTCCCCAATGAGCACGCCCCAGCTCTGCACCACATTATACACCATCACCGCATAGCAAGGCCCGTCTGAGTCCACCAGGCCAAATGTGCTTCCAGGTTGATGTGGGGTAGAGAGGGAGAGAAAAACATTAAAAGTTTGTGGGCAGGAAAGAATAGAAACAGTGGTTTTAAAATAGAGCAAAATTACTTAGAAATCTACCAGTCCTATTATCCACTACATACATTTGAATCCTCATTTATCTTGGGTTTCATGCCTTTAGGAAACAATAACAAGGCTCAATAATCACGTCACTCTACTGAGAACTCAGGACACGTATGCACTGAGGTCATTCAATAAACGCTAATAATGAACTGGACCATTCTTCCTGGTCTATCAATTTAACTAACATCTACTTAACCAAACCCTCTGCAGTCACTATCAATGTAGGTTGATTCCACAAACTTTGATTAACTACTACATATCAAGCACTGTTAGCAGTAAGATCCTAATCCAGTCATAAATGACCCATAAGTAATCTAACAGGAGTCAGATAAACACCACCGCTTGTGTTGGTTAGTAGCTGGGTGGGAGGAGGCTTGATGCTTGACTGCTGGGACACCCCTACAATTCCGGAATGCAGAAAGCTCAGCTAAGAAAGGCCAGCTTGAAATATATAGAATTTACAACCAACCTGGACTATGTAGTAAAACCACATTTCAAACGGGAAAATAAGAAAATATGGGGAGAAAAACGGAAAACCAGCTGGTTAAAACAGGAAAGCTAAACTCAGTGTGGTAGCACAAGTGACTGGTGAGTGGGAGGCAGGATCCTGAAGGTCAGTTAGACTCTGTCTAAAAAGACTGGGTGGTTCGGTGATTCAGCATGAAGACTAGAATTCAGAGCCTCAGAATCACAGGATCGTGAGGTCTACACTGCCCACCTGTAACTCTAGCCAAGGAACAGGCTGATCAAACATCTAGACTAGCTACAACAGTCAGTTCAGGGTTCAACCGAGAAACCTGTCCCAGTGAAGAAGGTGGAGGGCAACTGAGGAAGACATTTAACACCAACCTCAACACCCTACACACACATGCATGTGCACACACGCACACAGGCACACGCGCGCGCACACAAACACACACCACATATATATAAAGAAACTTACACACAAAGAGACATACGCACAACAAGGCAGGGAAACTGGGAAGACAGCCCAGCTGACACAGAGCTGACCACACGAGCATAAAGACCTGAATTCAGGCCCTTAGCCATTTATGTAAAAAGGCTGTGGTCCTACCGCTGGGGAGTGGAAGAGAGGAGGGTCCCAGGGCCTAGGTGGCCTGCTGGTCTTGTTCTGCACATGAACAGCAGATTCAGTGACAGAGCCTGTCTAAGAATGCCAGGGCTGGGAGCATGCACCTTTGATCTTGGGACTCAGGAGACAGATACAGGAGGATCCCTGTGAGTTCCAGGCCAGCCAAAGACACATGGTAAGAGCCTGTCTTTAAAAATGAAGAAAGGAAGGGAGAGGAGGGGAGAGGAGGGAAGGGAAGGGGAGGGAAGAGGAAGGGAGGAGGGAGGGGGGAGCTGGAGATATACCTCAGCCATTAAGAACACTTGCTTTTGCAGATGACCTGGGTTCAGTTCCCAGCACCCACAAGGTAGCTCACAGCAATCAGAAACTCTAACTCCAGAGCTGATGCCCTCTTCTGACCTCTGAGAGCACTGAGCACACACATGCCGGAACGTCGGCAGGATGGCTCTGCAGAACACGTGCAGGGCAGAGAACTGGCGTGTTCCTCCCAATTGCTGCATCCCTCCTAGCTGAAACACGTCCTCCAAGAGGGAAGGGAAGGCTCCCTAGCCTCAACGTGTCACATGTGCAGGAGACTTCTATGAAAGGCAGAAGCGTCTGAGGGCCACTGCCGTTACTGTAAAGGGAGTGAACAGTGCGGGGTGGACCAAGCACACTCAGAACGGGCGTTTCCTCTGAATGCTGCTGCTGCACAGGCAGCGCCGCCCACGTCGGGGTGGTCACGTCTGCTCCTGTAAGCAATCCCTCACCCATGCTCCTGTTTCTGAGTGCAATAGAACAGAAACTCATTGGTTCATGAAACTGGACATTGGAGCGATCGCTATTTTGGTCTGTCCTGTGCTCCCTTTCTGGTGTAAATAGACATAAATGTTGTGTCTTGCTAGAAAAAATAAAATCTGTCCCACAAGTACCAACTCCAAAGTCGTCCTCTGACCTTCACATGCATGCCATGGCATAAATGCACGCATGATCACATGTACACATAATAATAAGTTATAAAACAGGGCAGATTTAAAAGAGAAACGAGGCCCAGCATGCTGGTGCACATGCGACACTTAGAGGCAGAGGCAGGTGGCCCTCGTGAGGGCTCCAGGACAGCCACGACTGGCACAGAGAAACCTGCCTCCAAAGGGAGGGCGGTAACTGAGGATGCTACAGAGCCACATAGCGGGAGCGTGGGCACAGCAGTAGTCCACTTCATAGATTACAGGCCTGTGGTCCAGCACCTGGGAGGCAAAGACGGGGGTGGGGATAGGGAGTTATCACTGCAGGGCTGAGGCTAGCCCAAATAAGCAAACTACTGCAGTAGAAAAAAGGAACTCAACCAGGGACCAAGAAGTGTGTGAAGAATCAAGCAAGCACAGTACTCACCAAATCCTGAGTTTTCAGGATCTAACATTTTCCTGGGTTGGGAAGATGGTTCAGTGAGTAAAGCACCTGCCACTGCGCTGCCAATCCGAGTTCAACCCCCAGGATGCACACGGTGGGAGAGAAAAACACATGCTCCTCGGCCTGTGCACGCCCACACATGCTCCTCGGCCTGTGCACGCCCACACATGCTCCTCGGCCTGTGCACGCCCACACATGCTCCTCGGCCTGTGCACGCCCACACATGCTCCTCGGCCTGTGCACGCCCACACGTGCTCCTCGGCCTGTGCACGCCCACACGTGCTCCACGGCCTGTGCACGCCCACACGTGCTCCACGGCCTGTGCACGCCCACACGTGCTCCTCGGCCTGTGCACGCCCACACGTGCTCCACGGCCTGTGCACGCCCACACGTGCTCCACGGCCTGTGCACGCCCACACGTGCTCCTCGGCATGTGCACGCCCACACGAGCTCCTTGGCCTGTGCACACGCACACGTGCTCCACGGCCTGTGCACACCCACACGTGCTCCCCACACAAGCTCCACGGCCTGTGCACACCCACACAAGCTCTACGGCCTGTGCACACCCACACGTGCTCCACGGCCTGTGCACACCCACACGTGCTCCCCACACAAACTCCTCGGCCTGTGCACACCCACACGTGCTCCCCACACAAGCTCCACGGCCTGTGCACACCCACACAAGCTCCTCGGCCTGTGCACGCCCACACAAGCTCCACGGCCTGTGCATGCCCACACAGGCTCCACGGCCTGTGCACACCCACACATGCTCCATGGCCTGTGCACGCACACACTTGCACATAATATGAGTTATAAATGCCTTTAAATTCTTTCTAAGTAAATAGTCTAACTCTCTTCTTTGCTGGGTTGTGTCCTTTATATTTTTTTCCTCACTCCCTAAACACTTATGCCAAAACCCAAATAAATAAACAATAAATACAAACCCTCTGCTCAAAAAGTTCCCTGCCTGAAAAGACAATTCTTGAACTACAGATAGGAGACTACAGAGTTGGTCTTGCTCTGCCACACAAAACAAAGTGGCAATAAGCCAGGAAACAAGCTGTGTGTTTATAGATATAAAGATATAAATACAGATAGAGAAAGAAAGGAAGAGGAGAGGAGAAAGAGAGAGACCCTGAAAGCAAAAGATCCCAACCAGGCCCCTACTCTAACTCAAAGCTCACTTCCTAGAACTATCTAGAAACAGAATCTAAATTTGTCTTTCTTCAACTCTGTGATTCTGAACACTCAAAGATGAAGAATTTTAAAGTTTCTCCATCGTACTTTAAAAACAACATGCCAAGGGGGTTGGAGAGATGACTCACGGAGCAAGAGAGCTTGTTGATCTTGCAGAGGACCCAGGTTCAGTTCCCAGGATCCACATGGTTGCTCACAACCATCCATAACTCCAGTTCCAGAGAATCTGAAGCCTTCTGAACTTCACACACAGCACACAGACGTGCACACTCACACACAGCACACAGACGTGCACACACACACAGCACACAGACATGCACACACTCACACACAGCACACAGACGTGCACACACACACAGCACACAGACGTGCACACACACACAGCACACAGACGTGCACACACACACAGCACACAGACGTGCACACACACACACAGCACACAGATGTGCACACACTCACACACAGCACACAGATGTGCACACTCACACACAGCACACAGACACGCAAACAAACACACACAGCACACAGAAGTGCACACAAACACTCATGCACATTATTTTAAAATGACCTGTGAGTTTCAGGTATGAATTTAGGAACTGACAAAGCAGCGAACTCAGGGGAAAACAACAGGCAGTGGCAGAACCCACAAATGCCTCTACCATGAGACTGCTGGAGGCCAGCAAAACAGCTCATTGGGTTAAATCTCCTGCTCCCAGGCCTGGTGGCCACATCTGATGGGACCCACACGCTGGAAGAAACGGTCCTTCTCTGAATGCCACATGAAGACAGGCACACGTGCACTGCCACACACATACATAAGATAAATAAATATAACAGAACTGTACTACTGTCAAATAACAATAATAATAAAAGAGATCGCTTGGTATCTCCTAGACAGGCCTGCACATGGAGCAGTAGTGAAAGCTGATGATGTGTATAATGTCTTTACCAGCCAGGAAGTGAGAACAATTAGTTAATGGGGAAGGAAATGAAACTCACAAGGGGACTTTCTCCTCTGCGGTCAGGCTGAACACCACCTTCCCCAGGACCACAGCACCGCTGTTCACCCCGGGCTGCAGCGAGCTCAGGGGCTTGCACTCCAAGGTCACCTTCTGCCCAGTGGCTGACTGATATCGCCTATCACCACAAGGGCCCAGATGGGCTGGACGCAAGCTTCCCAGCATGCTCTGGAGCTTTTTGGGTTTTGTCTTTCCCTGCAATAGAAAGGGAAATAGACCAGCTGGAAGCTGGTATACTGACCCATTACCACCTAAACGTACTCCTTTTGTAGGTGACTGGAAGCTCACCTTGCTCTCCAGGAGGCTGGTTAGCCTAGTGAGGAATTCCATGAGTTGTTGCTCTCGTTGCCGCGGCTCTGGCCATGCAGGGTCCAGTGCAGCCGCCTGGGAGAAACCCTCTAGGGCCTCCCCGTAACTCTCTTCATATTTATGTAACTGTAGGAAAGTAACCCAGATTATCAGGATAAACAAACAACCTACATGGAAGAAACACTACAGTGAACAACTGTATACTCTCAGTCATGTTCCTGTCAGAGGACAACTGTACCCCTCAGTCATGTCTCCGTCAGAGGACAACTGTACCCCTCAGTCATGTTCCTGTCAGTGTACCCTCAGTCATGTCTCCGTCAGAGGACAACTGTACCCCTCGGTCATGTTCCTGTCAGAGGACAACTGTACCCCTCAGTCATGTTCCCATCAGTGGACAACTGTATCCCCTCAGTCATGTTCCTGTCAGAGGACAACTGTACCCCTCAGTCATGTCTCCGTCAGAGGACAACTGTACCCCTCAGTCATGTTCCCGTCAGAGGACAACTGTACCCCTCAGTCATGTCTCCGTCAGAGGACAACTGTACCCCTCAGTCATGTCTCCGTCAGAGGACAACTGTACCCCTCAGTCATGTTCCCATCAGTGGACAACTGTACCCCTCAGTCATGTCTCCGTCAGAGGACAACTGTACCCCTCAGTCATGTTCCCATCAGTGGACAACTGTACCCCTCAGTCATGTTCCCATCAGTGGACAACTGTACCCCTCAGTCATGTTCCCATCAGTGGACAACTGTATCCCCTCAGTCATGTTCCTGTCAGAGGACAACTGTACCCCTCAGTCATGTTCCCGTCAGTGGACAACTGTATCCCCTCAGTCATGTTTCTGTCAGAGGACAACTGTACCCCTCAGTCATGTTCCCATCAGTGGACAACTGTACCCCTCAGTCATGTTCCCGTCAGAGGACAACTGTACCCCTCAGTCATGTCTCCGTCAGAGGACAACTGTACCCCTCAGTCATGTTCCTGTCAGAGGACAACTGTATCCCCTCAGTCATGTTCCCATCAGTGGACAACTGTACCCCTCAGTCATGTCTCCGTCAGAGGACAACTGTATCCCCTCAGTCATGTTCCTGTCAGAGGACAACTGTATCCCCTCAGTCATGTTCCCATCAGTGGACAACTGTACACTCTCAGTCATGTTCCTGTCCTATACTGGGCCCCGTTCTTCTGGGCCAAGGTGAAGACAGTGCAAAGACAAACTCGTTTCCAGGACACAACTCACAAGCTCTGAAGCTGTGGAGCATGCTGGGTCATGTCATTCTATTCATACTTAAAACCGGAACTCTCCTAAGCCACCTCCCCATCTGCCTCAGTCCCTTCCTTCCCTCAAGTGACTTCTGGGGTCACACTGAGGTCAAACTGAGGTCGGACTCAGCTAGCTCTTCCTAAGCAGAATTGGGCTTTCCTCTTATGGCTTGTGCCCAGCTTTGTCCCTGTGTAACTCAGCCAGTTACCTCAGAAGCTAAGGCTCGGCTGTCTTTTTTGAAGACATTTTATTTTATAAGTGTTTTGCCTTTGTGTGTGTGTGTGTGCCATGGGTATGCTCGGGTTCCCTAGAACTGAATTAGAGCCGCACAAGGCTAGGCACCAAACCAGGTCCTCTGTCAGAGCCTCCCGGCCATCTCTGCGGGCCCTGTGTGTCCTTTGTATTTGATGAGCCCCACCCCCAGGTCTTACCGTCGCCCTGTTGAGATGAAGGTCGGGATTGCTAGATGCTTTCCTGTCAACCTTCTCCTGCAACGGGATAAAAAGATCAATGACATCCTGACTCAATTTTCAGGATGCCTGAGCTCAACACGTTGCAGACTTCATCTCAGAAGAGACCTGAGGTTCTTCCGAGCCGAAATGCTATCTGCACCCATGTTGCCGCTCAGCTCATCGGTAACTAAGCGTATGGAGCACCAATCCCTCTTGAAGCCTCAGAGATACAAAGCTGACTGACTGTGTACAACTTTAAAATATGGTCATACTAACCCACACAATATTACAAAAATAGATAAAAGATAAAAATATGAACGAATTCTGAGTTTTCAGAATTAAGTCGTGACACAGGTACAAATGAGGAAAGGCTAAGGCATGACTTATAAGGCAGTCATGGTGCTGTCCAGCTCCTTCAGGGACACAGTAAGTCACTTCTGACTCTGAAGGAAGATGTGAAAACAAAATAAGAAACTGGCTCTGAAGGAAGGACTCAGCTCTAACCCGTAGAGAAACGCAGGGGAAACCACAGTGCTGATGTTTCTAACTATGTTCACTACCTAGGCACAGCATAAGCAAGTCAACACAAACTAAGACCATTCAAACAGCTGCTTCAAAGATGTTTTAAATGCAGAAGACGAAGTTAAGAATCAAAAACAACTATGTGCCGGGCAGTGGAGGCACACACCTTTATTCTTAGCTCTCGGGAGGCAACAGCAGGTGGATCTCTGTGAGTCTGAGGCCACCCTGATCTACAGAGAGAGTTCCAGGACAGCCAGGGCTACACAGAGAACCCCTAACTAGAAAAACTAAACAAAAACGATACAGCAGAGGACAAACACAGAATTTTGAAGGCATGTTCTTAAAAATGTAAACATTCACAAAACTTTATAATTAGTGTAGAAGGCCGGATGTCTATAACACCGGCCCCCACAAGGCAGAGACAGGGGATCTCAAGTTTGAGGCCAGTCAGGGTTTCACATTGAGACCCAGTTTATAAAATAATAAATGCACAGTTTGGGGTAAACCTCTGGGCAGTCTCTGCATCACTGGTCTGAACTCACAATAGCTGCTTTCTTTCTCTCCAAAAGGGGCAGAGAGCTGAGGAAGGTCAACAGCCACTGTGTAAAGAACCTGAACGCAAAGGATGGGATGAATAGGAAGGCTACATAAACAGCATTCTGAAAGTAAGAGTGAGCCTTCTAACAGGGAAGAGAGGGCACTCTAAGCCTCAGGGAGCCAACCCCCAAGAGAGTGTCCTCAGCATAAGCACAGTTTAGAACACAGAGCATGTGTGAGCTGCACTGTGTGGCTCCCTGCGAACATGAAGCCTAACCTCGGGAGACCCGGAGCCACTACCTAATCTTCAGAGCTTCCCTTCCCTTTAACATTACGCAAGCAGGGCTGGAGAGATGGCTCAGTGGTTAAGAGCACTGGTTGCTCCTCCAGAGGTCCTGAGTTCAATTCCCAACAACCACATGGTGGCTCACAACCATCTGTAATGAGATCTGGTGCCCTCCTCTGGCAGAATGTTGTATACATAATAAATAAATAAATCTTTAAAAAAAAAAAAAAACATTACGCAAGCATTATTCTACTAAGCTTTTTGCCCTACTAAGAAGAGATGAGCATGCCAGAACAGGCTCCATGCTTCCACTACGGGTGCCTGTAAGAAACCGAGGAAACTCAAGGCCCCATCCCTAACATCTAAAGTCCCCATGCAGACACGTGAGCTGCGAACCATCTCTGCCAGCACTACTCCTGATTCAGTCGCTGCTTCTGCATCCACCCTGGGGATCCCAAGTACTTACTGCTTGAGCATAGGCACTGAGGGCTTGCTGGGAGATCTTAGGGTTCTGGCCAGTATTGAAATAAAGAGAAAGGTATGCGTTCCCCAGGATATCTGCAAGAGCAACAGCAGTGCACCATCTCAGAGCCCAGTCCAAGATGCAACCAGCAGCTCTCGGGAGTCTGCATGTTTAAAGTGTTTGTTAGCATACATTATTGCATCTAATAATCCATACACACATAGAATATGTTTTAATTGTACATATATCCTTCATTATCCCTCTCCTGTCCCACGTCCACGTCCATAGATCCCCCTTCTTCCCTATCAACACCTCTCCTTCAATCTGCTTATTTTAACCTGCTGGGGTATGGGAACCTTACCAGTGGTCACAACACAGAAGAAAATGTCTCTCCTTCTGCCAACAACCATTAACTACTATACATCCTCAGGGAGGGGTAGGGTCTTGTAAGGTTTTGGGCTTCCAAACTTTTCTTTAAAAACATTCACTTACTTTTACTGTCTGTGCATGTGAGTTTTGCCTGTGTGTATGTCAATGCAGTACACCACGCAATACGTGGAGGTCAGAAGAGGACATCAGATCCTGTGCAACTGGACTTACAGATAGTTGTGAGTTGTAAAACAGGTGCTGGGAATTGAACCTGGATCCTTTGAAAGACCAACCAGTGCTCTTAACCACTAAGCCATGTCACCAGTCATTTTCCCCCTAAGTCAGGATCTCATCAATGTGGCCCTGGCTGGCCTCAAACTAGCAAAGATCCACCTGCCTCTACCTCCTGAGCACAGAGACTCAGAAGTCTGTTTCTGAAAAGCCTTATCTCTCACCCAAACAAGGTATTACACTGTATTGATTAGTTCAAATTCCACTGAGATAAACTGAAACTTGAACTCCCAATGATTTTACAAAAGCCCTGTGTGCTAGTTTTAGTGGGGGAAAGGGTGGTGCTTATGTTGATTTTTGTTTGTTTGGTTTGGAGGAAATCACTTGACACAAGCTAGGGTCATCTGAGAAGAGGGGGATTCTTAATAATTCATCTTCAATAAGACGCCTCCATCCAATTGAACTGCAGGTATGTCCACGGGCCATTTTCTTGATTAATGATTGATGTGGGAAGTGTGCCAACCGACTGTGGGCAGCACCACACCTGGACAGGTAGGTGCTTAACCGTGACAATGGAAAGCAAACCAATAAGCAGCCTTCCTACTTCAATTCCTGTCTCCAGGTTCCTGCCTCGAGTTCCTGCCTGGCCTCCCTTTATAGTGGACAGTGATAAGCTGAAATAAATCCTTTTCTCCCCAAGTAGCTTTTGGTCACGTTTTCTGCAGCAACAGAAGGTAAACAAGGACACCTGTACTGCTTAAAGGGAAATGTAAGTCTCCAAGAGCTCCAACAGCAGCTCATCAAAACAAGGGGCTGCAGGTCACCTCGGCAGTGAGGAGTGCAAGCAGCAGAATCATAGGGCCAGAGGTTAGATCCCAGCCAGGCATCCATCAAACATCAGGGACTCCACCTAGGGATACAACAGCATCTTCTGGTCTCCACATGTGCATGGACGTGCACACACACACATGCACACACACAAAGTTTAAAAAAAAAAAAAGAAGGGCTGGAGAGATGGCTCAGTGGTTAAGAGCATTGCCTGCTCTTCCAAAGGTCCTGAGTTCAATTCCCGGCAACCACATGGTGGCTCACAACCATCTGTAATGAGGTCTGGTGCCCTCTTCTGGCCTGCAGACATACACACAGACAGAATATTGTATACATAAGAAATAAATAAATATTTTAAAAAAATAAATAAATAAAAAAATAAAAAAAAAAAGAAACAAGTTTAGGGCTTCACAGCTGGCCTCCCAATGATTTTAGTACATAGCCACGGCTCAGAACCACTGCTGCATTCTAGTACGCAGCCATGGCTCAGAACCGCTACTGTACAAGCCTGGACGTCTTTTCCTAACACTCACACCAGGAGCGGCCATCAAGAACATCCATCTGCACAGCCAACTTGGCCTGCCGGACGCTGTCCATGACATGACGAGAATGCTCATCTCCGGAGTCGGTCTGCAGCTGCCGAAGCACCATTGACAAGTTCTGCAGGGAGACTTTGTTCTTGCACTGCAAATGGAGAGACACGCACTCAACTGCCCTGATTCTCCCTCCCCTTTCCAGGTCCACACTGACCTCAGTTTTCTCCTCTGATCCCCATCCGTCCTCCCTTCTGGTTCTATTCTCCTAGCTCAGATTCATTTCCGATATGCTGTTCTTCCTGGAGAGAAATTCAAAGAACCAAAAGAATCCCCTACTTCCCAACTGTATGGGGAACTGGCAGCTCACGTGGGTGAGAGCTCCTGAGAAGCAGGTGTGGGCAGCGGCGACATCCCCTTTCTTCCAGTGCACCTCACCCAGCTGGTTCCAGGCTTCCACCAGCTCAGGCTCCAGCTTCACAGCCTTTGACAGAAGCACCTCAGCCTGAGGGCTGTACTCAGGAGTCACATTCAAGGCCTTTCCCTTCAGCATTAGAGCCTGGGCCTCACCCTGGACAGGACCTAGGAAGAAGGGGTAAAGATCAGGCGGTGAAAAACCAGGGAGTGTTTTTCCTTAACAGATACATGGCTGGAGACACCACCTAGCCTTAATGCAGACCAACTTTGCTCCTTCCTGGGAATTCTCTTGCCTTCCAGCTCATTCCCATTCCTCTGTGTCAGCCACCAATACCTAGAAAGACCCCCAGTGGGAGATTTTCACTACCTTCCAGTACCATCTCTGCCCTCCCTGCAGGTGCCCCTCCTCCCACCCAACTCCACCTCTGTGTGCAGGCCCAGGGCTCACCCAGCCACTTCACCCTTCTCTCCAGGGATACTCTTCCTCTTACTCTTCAGGAGCTCCTCCTCTTATCAAACTTCCAACTCCCTGGGGACTCTTGGTGCAGACCTATCCCTTAGCTTGCTCCCCCCTGACCAAATCTACAAATAATAGGAAACCTAGATCAAAGGCACAGAAAATATTTTCAATAAAACCATACAAGAAAATTTCCCCTAACTAAAGGAAGTGTCTACCATAGTACAAGAAACATACAGAAGACTAAATAAACTGCACCAGAGAAGAAATCCTCCACACCACATACATGCTGGCTTGAATATAATCGGCCCCTGTAATCTCATAGGGAGTGACACTATTAGGAGGTGTGGCTTTGTTGGAATAGGTCTAGCCTTGTTGGAGGAAATGTGTCACTGTGGAAGTGGCTTTGAGGTCTCATATATGCTCAAGCCACGCCCAGTGAATCAGACCACTTCCTGTTGTCTAACAAGATATTAGAACTCTCAGCTCCTTCTCCAGCACCATGTCTGTCTGTATCTGCCTGTTTCCCACCAAAACAACAATGGACTAAACCTCTGAACTGTGAGTGAGCCACCACAATCAAAATGGTTTCCTTTATACAGTAGCCATGGTCATGTTGTCTCTTCACAGCAACAGAAACCCTAACTAAAACACATAATTATCAAAGCATTAAATATACAGAATAAAAAAAAATATCAAAACCACAAGGAAAAAGGACAAAGTAATATACAAAGGCAGGCCCACTAGAATAAAGCCTGACTTCTAAATGGAGTCTCCAAAAATCCAGAAGGACCTGGGAGGATATTCTACAAACTCTAAAAGACCAGAGATGCCCATCCAGACTACTATCCTTAAAACTATCAATCACAATACAAGAAAGAAAAACATTCCACATTAAAATCAAATCTAAGCCATATCTATCTACCATCCCAGTTCTACTGAGGCACTAAAAGAAAAAACATTACTCTGTAGAGTGTTCTAACTATACCCCAAAAATTAAAAGGAATAAATAATTTCAGAACAGCAAATCAAAAGAGGAAAACCCACACCATAACAACAAAATACAGGAAACAAAAAGCATTGCTCATTGATGACTCTCATACCAATTCCCTACTAAAAAGACAAAAACTAACAGACTGGACTAGAAAACAGGCTCCATCCTTCTCCTGCATCGCAGAAGCACACCTTACCATCAAAGAAGACATCACTCAGGAAAAAAGGATGGGAAAATGATATTCCAAGTAAATGGATCCCAAAAGCAAGCAGGTATAACCATTTTAGTGTCTGACAAAATAGACTTCAAACCAGACTAATCAGACCAGATGGAGAGGGACACTACACACTCATCAGAGGAAAAATCCACCAGGAAGACATTGCAATCCTAAACACATAAGCACCAAACATAAGGGCCATAAAAGAACACTATCACAGCTAAAATTACATAGTGACCTGCACACAGTGATAGCGGGTAAATTCAATACCCTACTCTTTTCAAGAGACAGGCCATCTAGACAAAAAAATAAATAAAGAAATTCTGGAGTTAAATAATGTCATAAATCAAATGGACCTAGCAGATAATTACAGAACACTCCACCCAAACATTAAAGAATATACCTTCTTCTCAGCACCTCATGGAACTGTCTCCAAAACTGACCACATAATCGGACACAAAGCAAATCTCAATGTATGTAAGAAAACTGAAATAACACCCTGCACCCTATCTGACCACCACGGACTAATGCTGAATAAACAACAGAAAGTATGCAAACTCACAGACACCGAACAAATTCACTACTTAGTGAAAGTGGGTCCAGAGAGAATGAAGAGGGAATCAAAGTCTTAAAGAGCTGAATGAACATGAAAACAAGTGTACTCAAGCTTGTGGGACACAATGAAGGCAGTTCTAAGAGGCGTGCTATAGTACTAAATGCCTATAAAAAACAGTTAGAAAGATTTCAGGTTAGAACAACAAACCTGAAAGCTCTAGAACAAAAAGAAGAAATAACACCCAAAAAGAGCAGATAGCAAAAAATAATCAAACTCAGGACTGAAATAAACAAAACAGAAACAAAAACATAAATAAATAAATTACAAAGAATCAATGAAAATAATAGTTGGTTCCTTGAAAAAAAATCAGTAAGACTGATTAACCATTAGCCAAATTAACTAAAAGACAGAAAGAGAAGATCCAAATTAATAAAATTATAGATAAAAAGTGGACAATACAGCTGGGCGGTGGTGGCGCATACCTTTAATCCCAACACCTGGGAGGCAGAGGCAGGTGGATCTCTGTGAGTTCGAGACCAGCTGGCTACAAAAGCTAGTTCCAGAGCAAGCTCCAATGTTACAGAGAAACCCTGTCTTGAAAAAACAAAATATAAAAGAAAAAAAAGAAAAAAGAAAAGTGGACGTCACAACAGACACCAAGGAAATCCAGATAATCATAAGGACATACTTTAAAACTCTATATTCCATCAAACTGGAAAAGCAAAAGGAAATGGATGAATTTCTTGATTTATACGACCTACTAAAGTTAAATGAATATCAGAATAGCAATTTAAACAGAGCGAGGGAATTTCCTAGATAAATAGAAGCAGTAATTAAAAGTCCTCGGCAAGCCGGGTGGTGGGCGCCTATAATCCCAGCAGTTGAGAGGCAGAGGCAAGCAGATCTCTGTGAGTCCAAGGCCAGCCTAGTGTACAGAGTGAGTTCCAGGACAGCCAAAGCTGTTACACAGAGAAACCCTGTCTCAGGAGAAAAGGAAAAAAAGTCCTCAGGAAACAAAACTTCAGAGCTGAGTTTAGGAAACAGGCAGCAGGGACTGCGTGCCATGGGAAGGGTTAGACTTCAGCCAATCAGAAGTCAGAATCTTCAAGAACACCTGAGCATCCAGGTGTGGTGGCACACACCTGTAATCCCAGCCCTGGGAGGCAGAGGCAGTAGACTTAAAAGTGATTTCAAGGTCAGCCTGGTCTAAATTCAAATTCTAAGACAGCCAGGGCAACATAGTAAGACCTTGTCTCAAAGAAAAAAGAAAAAAAAAATAGAGGCAGAATCAGGTAAGCATATTAAGATTATTACAAAAGGTATATTCTTTTATGCCATTTGCTATAATCAAACCTTTGCAGTGGAAGAGCACTATCCCACACAGGAACATGGCAGCACTCTGGTCTAAACTACAGCCCCACACAGGACACCACACTGTGAAGGGCAGGGGGCTGGATGCTCCCTGGCACTCATACCCAGTACTTCCTCCATCTGCTGCAGGGTCTTCTCCATCTCATCCTGCACATCCTGCTGCTTCCGTCCTGCATCCTCAACACTGTGTGTCTCAAAATAGCTGTCTCGAAATGAGTAGAGTCTATCCACCAGTTCCTGGAAAACAGAAAAAAGACAAAACAGAATCGTTAAAAAGAAAGATTTTACATCAACTGCACAGCCTCTGGCCTAGCCTCTTATCTCACATGAGGCACAGCACAACAAGAAGGTCCCCAGTCCTATCGAACGCTACAGATCAGGAGGAAGGGCCAGGACTGCAGGATCTCATGGTCACAAACTGTCCCACACTGGTCCCTCAGCACTACATGTGTACCGATCTCACAACTCACATCCCAGAAGGGAGAGATACCTGGAGACCTGAAATAAACCAAAACCAACGTCATTCTAGCTTATTCTGGTCCCCAAAACTTTGCAATTTAGCATTAAAGCTGGGCTTCTGAGTAGGAGAGAAGGCCTCGTGAGTAAAGGCAAGTGTCTGCTGCCAAGTCTGACGACTTGAGCTCAGCTCCCAGAACCCACATGGTAAAGGGAGACAGCCAGCTTCTGCAAGCTGTCCTCTGACCTCTACACATGTGTCCTTGTAGTAATAAGAGCGGCGGCGGGGCTGCGTTCCCAGCACCCCGGCCGCCTGCTCGGCTAGCTTATGCCCCGAAATAATTACACGGACACTGTATTCTTTTAAACACTGCTTGGCCCTTTAGCCCTAGCCCTTACTGGCTAATTCTGTTATCCCGATCAACCCATCTCTAATAATCGGTGAGCACCGGTCTTACCGGGAAAGGTTCAGCATGTCTAACCTGGTGGCTTGCTTCATGGCGTGTGTCTGCCCAGGAGCCGGGAGCATGGCCTCTCTCTCAGGCGTCTGCTCCCAGGAGGAGAGCAGAGCTGTGGAGTCTCTGAGCTCACTTCCTCTTCCTCCCAGCATTCTGTTCTGTTTACTCCACCTACCTATGTCCTAACCAATAAAATGGGCCAGGGCAGTTCCTTTATTAGCCAATGACCTTCCTCCATCATGTCCTGGCATGCATCCCAATACATAATTTTTTTAAATTTATATTATAATTTCTGGATATGAGTGTTTTGATGTTGGATTTCCCTCTATGTGCTGTGATTACCATTAATAAATAAAGAACTGCTTTGGACTTATAGCAGGGCAGAACCTAGCTAGGCAGGGAAAACTAAACTGAAAGCTGGGAAAAGTAAGGCAGAGACAGAGAGAAGCCATGTTAGCCCCGCCAGAGCCAGAAAGAACTTTACCCGTTAAGCCATGGCCACGTGGCAATACACAGATTACTAGAAATGGATTGAATTAAGATATAAGTGTTAGCCAATAAGAAGCTAGAACTAATGGGCCAAGCAGTGATTTAATTAATATAGTTTATGTGTGATTATTCCGGTTCTGAGCAGCTGGGAACAAACTAGGGGCCGTCTCTCTACAGCGTTTGCCCTGCAGGCATGTATGTGGACCACAGGTGCGTGCAGGCATGTATGTGGACCACAGGTGCGTGCAGGCATGCATGTGGACCACAGGTGCAGGCGTGTACGTGGACCACAGGTGCAGGCGTGTACGTGGACCACAGGTGCGTGCAGGCGTGCACGTGGACCACAGGTGCGTGCAGGCGTGCACGTGGACCACAGGTGCGTGCAGGCGTGTACGTGGATCACAGGTGCGTGCAGGCGTGCACGTGGATCACAGGTGCGTGCACGCGTGTATGTGGACCACAGGTGTGTGCAGGCATGTATGTGGATCACAGGTGCGTGCACGCATGTATGTGGACCACAGGTGCGTGCAGGCATGTATGTGGATCACAGGTGCGTGCAGGCATGTATGTGGACCACAGGTGCATGCAGGCATGTATATGGATCACAGTTGTGTCTGGTGCCTAAGGAGGTGGGAGCCTCCATGCGGGTGCTAGGAATTGAACCTGGGTCCTTTCCAAAAACAGTAAGTCCTCTTAACCATTGAGCCAATTCTCCAGGCCCCATAAAAAAAATTTTTTTTAATTGTTTTAAATCTCAGTCATGGAGGTGCACTCCAATACAGACAGGGCTACAGTTTCAAAAAACAAAGCTGGGAGAGTGTGGTTTCAAAAGGAATGGCCACCACAGGCTCAGACTGGAAAGCCTGGTCACCATGTGAAAGGATTAGGAGGTGTGGCCTTGTTGGGGGAAGTGTGTCTTTGGGGGTGGGCTCTTAGGTTTCAAGATGCAGCAATCTCAGCTACTCCTCCAGCACCATGTCTGCCTGAGTGCCCATGCTCCCTGCGAGGATGATAAAGAACTAAACCTCTGAAACTGTAAGCCAGCCCCAATTAAGTGCTCTCCTTTATAAGAGTTGCAGTGGTGATGGTGTCTTCTTCACAGCAATAAAACACTAAGGGGGGGGGGGGGTTCCAATAAAATATATTTTTAAGCACTGTTTACTCGTGGCTATAGATAGCACACATAAGGCTCTCTGGGTCTCATCCCCAGAAACACATACACACACACACACACACGCACACACACACACACACACACACGCACGCACGCACGCACGCATGCACGCACGCACGCACGCACTCACGCACTCACACGAAAGAAACGAAAAACAAAACACTCCCCAAATAAAACTGCACTTGTTTAACAATACCGATTATCCATTATTTTTTCACAGGCTGATATATGAAGATGCATGGCCTTGCTTCCCATCACAACCAACTTGAACTTGATGACCTTGGAGAGTTTGTGGAGATTTTGTTTATTTGGGGCGTCCTTCTTGCATTTTCTCGTTGAGTAAACGTTAAACGTGTCTAAGTCCTCCTGTCATGCCAGAAAACTGTTTCACTATTCTTTCCTGAAGGCAAATAGCAGAAGGCCCACACAGTCCAACATACAGCCCAATCCCATTTAATTATGTCAGCTATCACCCTGAGGTCACCCTCCTGGCTTTATTATCAGTCTAGACTAAACCAGCTTCCTTAAGGGACCAACTACTGCAAGAACTTCTCAGCTGGTCAGTATGCTTCTACTCCCCCAAAACTCGTGAGGAATTCACCACTGCAGACAATAAAATCTCTCCTCCAGTACCTCGAGACAGCACCAGACTCCACCTCTCACTCTCCTTGCCGCCGGCTCCTCAGGCCACGGACTGTCCTCCAGCCCCTGAAGCCTTCGCTACCCTGCATCTGGATCCTTTCCTCAGTCTCCTCAGTGACTCTTTTCCTCAGCATCACGGGATAGGAGCTTACCCTCCAAGTTCTCAGAAAGACTTTCCCGAATTATCTGTCCCATTTGCTTTCCGTTTGTATGATAAAAAGAAAAAAAAAAAGGAAAGACTAAAACCAACTTGGGGAGGAAAGGAAAGCTTGTAAATTATCATGACCCTTCAGGGGAAGCCGCAGCAGCAAATCAAGGCTGGGCCCTGGAGGCAGGAACTGAAGGAGAGACCCTGGAGGCAGGAACTGAAGGAGAGACCCTGGAGGCAGGAACTGAAGGAGAGACCCTGGAGGCAGGAACTGAAGGAGAGACCCTGGAGGTGAGCTGCTTTCCAGACCCAGTGCAGGACCAGTCACCTGAAGCAGGCACTGCCCACAGGGGGCTGGTCCCTCCCACTTCAATCATGAACCCCCACAGCCTTGCCTACAGGCCAAATGAGAGGTTTCCTCAACTGAGGCTCCCCCTTCCCAGGTGATCCAGCTCACGTCTGATTGACAAAAAAGAATGAACCAGCACCCTACCTAAACCACAGCAGCGCTCCCCCCTCCCCCACAATTAGTCACTCCTAGTTCCCTTCAAGGTGCCTAGCATTTTAAATTATATGACCTATTCATTCATTCCTCCTGGCATCACCACTGTGGGTTCCACAAGGGAAGGGTGTAAGCATTAGAACAGGGCTGGATCACAACAGGCTCTCATCAAATAGGGCGATTAAACTAATTAACATAGCACCGTGGTACTAACGAATCCATATCTGCTGTGTGTAATTCAAGTGACACCTTCTTTCTACAGTGCTTTTAAACCCAGGAAACACAAGTCCTGCAGAGACTGATCTGAACACATATATAAAGCCAGAATTTTCAACAAGTCCTAGAGTAAAAATGGTCAAATGGTCTCTGGAATACAAGTTTTGGAATTTTTTTTTTAACAGAGTTCTAAGCAAAAGTCACAACCAACTGTCAAGCAATGAGCATGGCTGCAAATTCAGAATGAGGTCTCACTGTCTATTTTTTAGTTGATTTGGTTTTTCGGGACTGAGTAGCTTTCTGTGATGGCAACAGCAATATAAATACGTTTTTACATGCAAGTAACATGTGAAAAGAGGAAGTGATTCATAGCCACTCCAAACAGCCTCAAGAAACACTATTTGGCATAACACTTTGTGTTTTGTTTTGTTTTTCTGTACCACCAAATGTACTTAGTGTGTCTAAAGTCTCTCTGAGGATAGGATCAAGAATCTGGTTTCTAGCCAGGCATTGGTGGTGCACACCTTTAATCCCAGCACTCAGGAAGCAGATGCAGAGGCAGGCAGATCTCGGGCAATTCTAGGCTAGCCTTGTCTATAGTGAATTCCAGGACTGCCCAGGATACCCAGAGAAACCTGTCTCGGGGAGAAAAAATCTGATTTCTGCCAATCACACTAAGGAATAAGGTCAATCAAGTCCATGCTGAGTGTTATTTTAACACACCCAAGAAACACAGACACCTGATCAATGCTTTAAAAGTTGTTAGAAATAGCCCAGCATGGTGGCTCACGGCAGCCTGGCCTACAAAGCCAGTTCCAGAAGAACTAGAGTTACAAAATAAGAAAGACCCTGTCTCAATAAAAGGAACAAACAAACTGTTAAAAGTATTTAAGGAACAAACAAACTGTTAAAAGTATTTAAGGAGGGGCTGGAGAGATGGCTCAGTGGTTAAGAGCACAGACTGCTCTTCCAGAGGACCTGGGTTCAATTCCCAGCACCCACATGGCAGCTCACAACTGTCTGAAGATCAGTTCCAGGGGATCTGACACTTCACACCAATGCACATAAAAAAAAATAAAGTTAAATAAACCATAAAAATGTTAAAAAAAAAAAAGTATTTAAGGATAGTTATAGTTTAAATTTCAGGATGTCTTAGAGCACAAACTGAGTTTCTAAGATTTAAGGAAAATGCTGATCATTAAAACAAAAGTAAAGACAGAAACTCGACGAAAAGTCCTTTCAGCTTTTCTATAACAGCCACCTGGGGAGGGGGTGGGGTTAGTAGATTAACAGAGTAAATCCTAAAGCTAACACCAGGGCGTCCGCTCGGCAGTGCATCACCGAGTGCTGCCAAGTCCACAGCAGAAAGATGCTAAAGAAATGGCCGCTGTGGAGACCAAAACAACTCCGTTAACCGTCAGGCGACCCGCCACTCCATTTACACGCGACTTGTGACCGAGGAATCCCGAGTGGGCGGACTTCCTCCGGCTCCCAGCGAGCAGCCCACGGGGAGCCCTGCTCACCGCCGCCTGCTCTGACCGCGGCGCTCCCCCTTCCAGAGCAACCAGGAAAGTTTTAACTCACAGCCTCACCTGCAGTTTCTGCAAGACGTGCTTCTTCTCTTCCTCCTCTTCATCAGCCATCATTCCAGCCACCATCGGCTTCTCCTCCCCCAACTTTATAACCACAGAGACCCAGCCATTCTCGCGATGAAACCAACAGCGACATCTAGGGCTGTGGAGGCCCACCTGCCCCCGGAGACGAGGCTGCTGCCAACTTAACCCAAAATTGTGCTGCTCCAAGACGTCCTAGACGTTTTGTTTTGCTTCATTTTTGTTGTTTGTTGTTGGTAGTGGTTGTTATTGTTGTCGTTATTGTTTGGTGGTGGTGTTTTTTTTTTGTCTGTCCGTCCGTCCGTCCGTCCGTCCGTCTGTCTTGTCTGTCTGAAGCCGGATCTCACCACACGCATCAGACTGCCCTCATTGTGGTTATGTGGTCCAGGCTGGCTTGGACAGCCCGATTCATTGGCCTCAGCCTCCCAGCTGGGATAACAAGCACATACTGACTTTGTAATCACTTTGTTTCATGAACTTCCTTGCCAAATTCCGAAATCAAAATGTTCTTAGATTAATTATAATCAAATTTTTGTTTCGTGTATTCTTGCCCTTGCTTCTATCGCTCTTGAAAACCGAGATCGGTTGTGAAAGCACACATTTTGGGTGGTATTTTGGAAGGGAAGGTACTACAAGGCTAACTTGTCTAAATATTACCCAACTTTGAAGATTTCTGCACGTGTAATTTTTAGCATGTTTAATGCATTATCCTAATAATTCTACTACATTTGGGATGGCAGGCCACCATAATGTTCTCATATTCATTATTTCCTAAAGGGAACATAAGATACAGTCTGACGAGAGAAACGGGTGGGCCAAGAAAACTCTTTTCACTGTATTTTCCATTTTTTGTTAAAATTTTATTATAAAATGTTTATTCAAAAATAAATATTTTAAATCATCTGCCTTTTTGAGACAGGGTCTCAGGTATCTCAAACTGGCCTGGAACTTGCTCTGTAGCCAAAAATGACCTTGAATTCCTGATCTTCCAGCCTCTATTTCCCAAGTGTTGGGACTGTAGCCATTCATTACTATACCTGACATTTATTTTAATTTTTAAGACAAGATCTACCTATATAGGCTCAGCTGGTCTAGTAGTCTATGTAGACCAGGGTGGCCTCAAACTCATGGAAACCCCCGTCTCTGCCTTCTAAGTACTGGGATTACAGACATGCATCACCACATCCCGCTGCAATGAAAAAAATTTTTTTTTTTTTTTTTTTTTTTTTTTTGGTTTTTCGAGACAGGGTTTCTCTGTGGCTTTGGAGCCTGTCCTGGAACTAGTTCTGTAGACCAGGCTGGTCTCGAACTTTTTAATCATTTGCTAAAAGACAATCTCTGCAAAGAGGTATTAGACACTTCCAACAGTAATTGCCTCCAAAGAGGCTAAGCAGCAGAAACAAAGAAGGGATAATCTCCCTCTCCTTTTTTCCAACCTTTTAAAGGAAAAAAAAAAAAAGCCTACTAAGGGATGGTAGAAATGGCTCAGTGGTTAAGAGCACTCACTGGCTGTTCTTCTAGAGGACCCTGGTTCAATTCCCAGCATTCAAATTGCTCCTCACACCTATCTGTAACTCCAGTTCTAAGGTATCTGACACCTCACATAGACATACATGCAGACAGAACACCAATGCACAGAAAATAAGAAATACATCATAAAAATAAAAAGCCTACCATGCAAATTAAACTCTTGAACAATTTTAAAGAAACAATATTCCTGAAAGTTTACATTTTTAATTTTCAATTATACCCTACTTGTATTCCAAAATGCTCAAGATACCTATTACCTCATACCCTTTTCCAGCAAAATTGAAAACATCATAGGAAAAAAATTCCTATTTTATACTATAATCTGTAAAATATATTTCATTAGCTATAAAATATGGATTTTTACTCTTGGTCCTGGTATTAAGTGCCCCAAGGAGGTAGGCACTGCCATCTGAGAGGCATCATCTTCATCTTTCCATAGTCCCTGTGCAGAAAGGCTGCTGGGGAACACGAGTGGCAAGCCCCACACTGTTCCATGCGAGTGGACAGGCTGCTGGGGGAGCAAGAGTGGCAAGCCCCACGCTGTTCCATGCGAGTGGACAGGCTGCTGGGGAACGCGAGTGGCAAGCCCCACGCTGTTCCATGCGAGTGGACAGGCTGCTGGGGAACGCGAGTGGCAAGCCCCACGGTGTTCCATGCGAGTGGACAGGCTGCTGGGGAACGCGAGTGGCAAGTCCCACGCTGTTCCATGCGAGTGGACAGGCTGCTGGGGAACGCGAGTGGCAAGCCCCCGCTGTTCCATGCGAGTGGACAGGCTGCTGGGGGAACACGAGTGGCAAGCCCCACGCTGTTCCATGCGAGTGGACAGGCTGCTGGGGAACGCGAGTGGCAAGCCCCCGCTGTTCCATGCGAGTGGACAGGCTGCTGGGGAACTCGAGTGGCAAGCCCCACGCTGTTCCATGCAAGTGGACAGGCTGCTGGGGAACGCGAGTGGCAAGCCCCCGCTGTTCCATGCGAGTGGACAGGCTGCTGGGGAACGCGAGTGGCAAGCCCCACGCTGTTCCATGCGAGTGGACAGGCTGCTGGGGAACGCGAGTGGCAAGCCCCCGCTGTTCCATGCGAGTGGACAGGCTGCTGGGGAACGCGAGTGGCAAGTCCCACGCTGTTCCATGCGAGTGGACAGGCTGCTGGGGAACGCGAGTGGCAAGCCCCCGCTGTTCCATGCGAGTGGGCAGGCTGCTGGGGAACACGAGTGGCAAGCCCCACACTGTTCCATGCGAGGGGACAGGTTGCTGTGGCTGTGCTGGTGTCTCAGCCCTGTCCCCAGAGGCACTGGCTGACTGACGACTACTACACATCAGCCAGGGGCTGCACAGCCACCCTGGACAACTTTGCCAAGGCCACCTTTGGTGCCATCTCCAAGACCTGACCTCTGGAAAAAGATTGTTTTCACCAAGTCTCCTGATCAGGAATTTACTGAGCATCTTGTGAAAGTCCACACCAGTTTCTGTTCAGAGGACCAAGACTCCAGCTATGGCTACCACATAGGGCTTTTATACAAGAAAAATAAAAGTGCATTAAATCTGGAAAAATGGATTTTTAAATTTTCTTTATTTCTAAATTATGTATATGTGTTCTGTGTCTGCACGTAGGTATGTGCCCATGAGTATAGGTACCTTCAGAGAGCAGGAGAGGGGATCAGACCCCTTGGACCTGGAGTTATAAGCAGTTACAAACTGTCCAATATGGGGACAAGGAATTGAACTACACCTCTCAAGCTGGATATGCTTAATCTTTTTTCACTATACACCATTTTTACTTTGAGATTTAGTAAAATAAAGTTTTAAGCAAGGTGGTGGTGGAATGGTGACACATGCCTTTGATCCCAGCCCTCCAGAAGTAGAGGCAGGCAGATCTCTGTGAGTTTGATGATAGACTGATGTACAGAGTGAGTTCTAGGAAAGTCAAGGCTACACAAAGAAATCTAGCCTCAAACACACACACACACACACACACACACACACACACACGACTGGTCTATTGTTCTAAGGAAGCATGTAATCTCAGGACTTGGGAAGTAGAAGCAGGACAATCTGTTCACAAAACAGGCTAGCCTACCATGAGACTGAGAAGAACCAAAGACAGTAAACTCCGTTGTGTAAAGCAATAGTATTTTCTACGGTGACTAAACATGAAAATTCCTCAAGCGACTTCAATGTGACTCTTACTACCTCAACAGCAATCTGACTTAGCACTTAGGATAATTCTGTAATTCATCCCAGGAAAAGTGTTGGAAATCATGTTAACTACTATATCATAACTCTTAAGGTCGGTAGCACTTGCATGGGAATGGCTTCTGAGAAATGCTGTTTCAAGTTTGCCTTCACAAATCAAACCTTCACCTAATCTGTGATCAAGTTCACACTTTGAGGTCACTTATAACCATGCACCCACTCTAGCTACACTCTACATCCACCCTGTGCAGAATTGACTGACCTAAGAAAACACTGTGATCCATCTTACGGTACTCTGGACTCCAGCATAACTCCAAACACTGTAATCTATGTTACTATACTCTGGACTTGAGCATAACTCCAAACACTCTGATCCATCTTACTGTACTCTGGACTTCCAGCATAACTCCAAGCTCAGCAGAACTGGCAATTTTGATGCTGTTCTTACTCAGCAGAACCAGAAAAACCATTTTCTCCCTTAGGAGATTCACGTAAAAGATTAAGACAAAAGCTCCTGATTGTAGCCCTGGCTGTCCTGGAACTTGCTCTGTAGACCAGGCTGACCTAGAACTCATAGATCTACCTGCCTCTGCCTCCCGAGCGCTGGGATTAAAGATGTGCGCCACCACAGCCAGCTCCTCATTCCTTTATATTACCACATTTGCTGTGCAGTTCAGCAAAGACGACCTTTGTTCAACATTTTAGATTAGGTGATTAGAACAGTCGAGATCAAGTCTTTGAATTCTTGTGCACATGCCCACAGAGACATACAAAATTACAAATAAATATAAATCTCACTAAAAAGGAAATGCATTCCCAAATAAACATGTCGACAACTGTTAAAAAGGCTAAGAAGCAGCTTTATTTTTAAAACAAATACCAATTAAATCAGCAAATAACTTTTGTCAAGGTAAATTCTTTTTAAATAGAAACTGAACACATATGTATCAAATTGCACGTTCATTCACTGGCATAAACACACTTCCAAAACAAGCTAACACATGACTGTGTATAATACAAGCAAATAGCAAGACACCACTTTCCAAGACCATCATTTTTACATAAATATACTGGTAAGTAGGAAAAATCAATGCACACACTTAACATATGCGTACTAGAATCCAAGGCACCCTTAAATACAGCACTGGCGCTCACACAAGTGTGAGCAAGCTTGGTCTGATAGGGATTTATGACAGTCAGGGTTGTGCCTGTGTGAGCAGAGATGAATTAGAGATGAGGTTCATGGAATAAATGGATGAAACCAAACCAGAAGGCACACACCCACAGCAAGCCAGCTCCCCTAAGGTGAACTCGGGAATGCCAGTCACTTCAGTATGCAAACAGGTGGACGACTGGAACGTGACCCGAGCTAGACTAGACTCTCTTGGCTTTAAAGGCCCTGCTGCAGGCCTGCTGCTCTGCTTCCTGGTTCTGAGAAGCAAAACTAAAGAAACTGTTAGTGGGTTCTGGGGCTCCGGGAGAATCCACAAAAAATGGTCTGAACTGAACATCTTCATCTCCACCACCTCGGCTTCCAACTGGTGTGCGGTCCAAGGGAAACTTTGAGCTGTTCACTAGGGGAGAGAATTAGGGAAGAATGTAAGAATATTTCCTAATATATCTTTAGGTACAAAATAATAGCCACTGAATAAATATCTAACACAATTTAACTCCTATGAGATGGATAAAATAATTATCTTAAACTCATCTCCTGTGATAAGATAAATAAGACCTAACCTAAGAGCAAAGACTATGTCACTCAGCTCTTCCCTACCACAGAATACATGAATAGCTTCTGTGAAAAGCAAACAGATTGAATAAACATCTGGCTAATCCTACCAGACCCTTCCTTGGCTTTAACAGACTTCATCGAAGAGGTAAAAGCTGATTGTATCCACCTAAAAATAAGAGAGATAAAAAGCTAAGTACAGGGCTAGAGAGAAGCTCAGTGGTTAGGAGCAGTGCTGGTCCTGCAGCAGACCCAGGTTTGGTTCCTACCACTCACATCGTGGGTCACAACCATCCAGTTCCATGGGATCCAACACCCTCTTCTGGCTTCCATAATCAGTACACAAGTGGTACACATACTTACAAAGGCAACACATATACATAAAAAAGGAATCTTTTTTAAAATATACAAAAAGAATAAAGAAACACATACAAGGACAAGAAAACTATGTACAATAGCCATTTGGAATGACTAAGTTATTGTGGAATAATCTTTTTGTACACTGTGAAGATGTGTCTTTGCCAAGGCACCTTCTGATTGGCTAGTCAAGAAGAGGTTAGGCGGGACTTCTGGGCAGAGAGAAAGGAAGAGGAGATGAATCTAGGCTGGGGTGGGGAGTGGAGACCCAGAAGTACAAGATGTACAATACGGAAGGGAGGTAAAAAGCCATGAGGCAAAACATAGATTAATATACCTGGGTTAATTTAAATTATAAGAGTTAGTGGGATAAACCTAAGCTATAGCCGAGCTTTCATAATTAATCACAAGTCTCGTGTCATTACTGAGGAGCTGGCATACAGAGAAAGACTCACTACACAAAACTGTCGTTTATAAATAAAGAAGCTAAGCAGAAAAAACTCATTTTCAGACTGATCTCACTCGAGTACTGAAACTAGTTTGTAGACCAGCTGGTCTCAAACTCACAGAAATCTACTTGGCTCAGCCTCCTGAGTCCTGGGTGTAAAGGTGCACAACCGCAGTGCCAGGCAGGAACTCAGTCCCAGGTCTAACGGTGCACAACCGCAGTGCCAGGCAGGAACTCAGTCCCAGGTCTAACGGTGCACAACCGCAGTGCCAGGCAGGAACTGAGTCCCGGGTCTGAAGGTGCACAACCACAGTGCCAGGCAGGAACTGAGTCCCGGGTCTGAAGGTGCACAACCGCAGTGCCAGGCAGGAACTGAGTCCCGGGTCTGAAGGTGCACAACCGCAGTGCCAGGCAGGAACTGAGTCCCGGGTCTGAAGGTGCACAACCGCAGTGCCAGGCAGGAACTGAGTCCCGGGTCTGAAGGTGCACAACCGCAGTGCCAGGCAGGAACTCAGTCCTGGATCTGAAGGTGCACAACCGCAGTGCCAGGCAGGAACATTCCTTATTTATTTGCTCTTTGCCAGACAGGGTCCCACTATGTAACTTTGGCTGTCCTGGAACTCAGAGATCCATCTGCCTTTGCCTCCCATAGGCTGGACTAAAGGTTTGCACCACTAGACCTGGCCACGTGACATTTTGTGTGTTCTTATCACCTCACCCCCATTCTAGAACATCATTTTCTCTCACTGAACATTTTTCCTTAGCCTATAATTAACGTCAAAATCTGAGTACTGGGAAAAGTCTACCACCAGAGACTTAAATGTTTGTATGCCAATTTATACAATTATATTAATACTGAGGAAAAACTACTGGATTCTATTGCTATCAAGGCAATGAGTCACCCACCTAGCGAAAAAGATCCTGAGTCAGCCTAGATTTTAAATTGCCTACTTGAACAATAGTCGCATCCTCACTACTTAGAATCATGCCCATGAGTCAGGCACAGGAAATATATTCGGTAATTACATGGTGACTGAATAAGCAATTAAATGATCAAAGGGAAGAAACAACAACTGTGCAGTCTGAACCACGAAGACGGTTCAGTGAGTAAGGGCACTTGCTACCTAGCCTGACAACCTGAGTTCAATCCCCAGGACCCACTTGGTGCACAGAGATTCATGCCGTTGTCCTCTGACCTGTCATGCGCATTGTGGTACGTATACAGTGCCCCACAGACACAGACACACACACACACACGCACAGACACACACACACAAAGTAAATAAATGTAATGAAATAGAAACACATTTTGGCATGTGAGAGAAACTAAAACACGGCCTTATTGGTTAATGACAGAGCTGGTTAAAGGAATCACATGAAAACACGAAACAGCAGTGCTTAGCGCCCCCCAACGGAAAGTTACAGCTCATATTAATTACTACCACCAAATAGCTAGCAATGCACAACTCGAACATTTGTTTTACAGAGATTAATTAATTCTGCTCAAACTGACAATAATTTAAACTAGACATGGTAGCACACTGCTTTAATCCCAGGATTCGAGAGCCAGAGGCAGGCAGATCTGTGAGTTTGAGGACAGTGATCCACACAGTGAATTCTGGAACACTCAGAGTTGTGTAGAGACCTTGTCTCAAGTTAAAAAAAATAAATAGATAATTTAAAAGTATGCAAATACAACTGAGAGCAACAATGTGCAGAGTAAGCAAGGAATCCACAGCTCACCACGGCTCACCACCCTCAAAGTGTGCAAAATCATAGTTTAAAAACTAGGTGTTGGGTATCAAATCCCTTCTTACCTAATGGAAAGCCAAAGACACCGGACTGTGTGATCGTAGCTTGTTCCTGGGAACCCTCTTGGCTAGCAATAGTGATATTTCGTAGCCTAAGGCTATCATAAAGGCCTTGGAGCTTTTGATACTGGCGATTGCGCTCCATAAGTTTTTCAGAGATATCACTAAACTTTTTCTTGTATTCTTCTAGAACTTTCTTCATGGAGGTGACCTCTCCTTTCATAGAGGTCAATTCTACATCCTTGCTCTGTATTTGCTGAGTATATATCTTTTCCATCTGCTTCAGATGGCCCTCAGCCTTGCTGAAATTATACTCCTGATAGAGACGTTCCTGGTGCACCTGCAAATGAAGGAGAAGCAGCACCGCGTCACAGACTTTAACCCATTCGAGCTCAGGTGGAAAGGATGCTTACACAGGGATATGATTTTTACAATATTTAAAGCCAGGTTAGAAACATAATCATGCTGGGCAGTGTGGTACACATTTTAATCCCAGTACTTGGAGGCAGAGGCAGGCGGATCTCTGTGGGTTCGAGGCCAGCCTGGTATACAGAGTGAGTCAGTATAGTCAGGACTACACAGAGAAACCCTATCACAAAAAAACAAACAACAAACAAAAAACCCACAATCACAACATACAGCGAGGTGATTACAGAAAATGGGCTACTCAGAAAACCATATCAAAATAAGTATGCCTTATCTGCGAGTAACATATATCCTGAAAGTTCTAAAGAAATGTAACAGAAGTTAAGGTGTGAAGGTTTATGCATGTAGTAGTCACAGCCATAGGAACTGTGCAGAAGGATCAGTTCAAGGTAAGCCACCTCAGCTATGGTAAGTTTAAGACCATCTGGGCAACAGGAGCCAAAGCCAAGAAAAAAATACATGTCTACATGATACATGCACACATAAGAAGTCAAATTTCCAAATAATCCAGACTTATAAAAATAAGACCCCCTATATCCTTGTAGGAAATATTCTTGTTTCCTAGAATGTATACACGTGTAACCCATGTTGGGCAGAACCAGTAACTAGAACATAGCAAATAAAACAGTAAGTCACTTCTCTAGTACATAAGACTGCAAAGTCTATCTTCCTTGGAGATGCCCTTCCTTGCTGACTGGAAAAAGCAGTCATGATGGGAAAACCTAGAATGGGTGCAATTGCAAAATACTGAGGCCCCACAAGATTAAGTCAGAATGAATCAGACCTGAATACAAACTGCAAACCAACTTGTAGGCAATAACACAAGGGACAGCGGGCAGGCGGTGGTGGCGCACGCCTTTAATCCCAGCACTCGGGAGGCAGAGGCAGGTGGATCTCTGTGAGTTTGAGGCCAGCCTGGACTACAAGAACTAGTTCCAGGACAGGCTCCAAAGCTACAGAGAAACCTTGTCTTGAAAAAACAAAACAAAACAACAAAAACAAAAAAAAAAAAACCACCACAAGGGAGATCCAGACACTTTGAAGCTGGCCATAACATTTACATTATCTATGTTTCTGTTGCCTGAATGTGTGAGTGATGTGGGATTCCCCTCTTTATGCTGTGAATACCACTGGTTAATAAAGAAGCTGCTTTGGGCCCATTGCAGCACAGAACAGGGCAAGGTGGGAATTCCAAGCAGATAGAAGAGGAGAGAGTAGATGGAGTTAAAGAGACAAGATGCCAGAACTTTACCTGTAACCCACAGCTATGTGGCGATACACAGTTTAATAGAAATGAATTCATTTAAGATGTAAGAGCAACCTAGGAATATGCAGTCATTGGCCAAGCAGTGTTGTGATTAATATAAAATCACACAATTTTATTATATATCTATACATTTATAATTATATATTTATAATATATAAATCACACAATTTCTGTGTGATTATTTCGGGTCTGGGCGGCTGAGAAAGGAACAAGCAGTCTCTGCCTACATATGTGCACCAGTCAGAAGAGCTAGAGCTACGCACGGCTGGGAGACGATGTGAGCTACTGTGTGCGCGCCAGGAATCAAACCCAGGTCCTCCACGAAAACCACAAGTCCTCTTCACCAGTCAGCCATTTTTCCAGCCCCACCAATGACTTCTAGACAACACCAAAAAAGTCACTGGTAAGATGTTAATAAAATAAAAATCTGTACTCCATGAAAGGCACTGTTGTAAGAAAAAGACGAATTACAGACTGGGAGAACACATTTGTAAAAGATCTGAAAAACAGCTGCCACCCAAAATAAGAAAGATCGTTTGAATGGCAATAACAACAAAACCACTATATAAATGGGCAAAGTCAGGGTATAGTAGCTTATGCCTTTAATTCCAATGCTCAGAAGCACACTCTGTGTGCTTGAAGCCAGCCGAGCCGACACAGGTAATTCCAGACCAGCTACAATTACATGAGACCTGTCCCAAAATTAAAACAAAAGCCTAAGACTCCTCAGTTCAACATCAAGACTGCATATGAAGGTGAGACCCAGTTCCCACAACTTGTTATCTGACCTATGGATCCAAAGCATGCACGCACAATAATAAATGTAAAAATAGGCAGAAAATGAGCATGGGTTCCTGTCACGTTTCAAGAAAATGGAAAGTGATTCCACTCTACCTCATTAAAATGGTCAAAATGATAACCTGTCATTTTGGGCAGGAATGTAAAGTAGTAGTGCAGGCACTTTGGAAAACAGTTGGCAGTTTCCTACAAAAACAGGGTCACCGCTGAAGAAGTGCTTGGCTAGCATATGCAAGACCCTGGTTTGATTGTTAGCATACAAAAATGTTCTCGCCTGGGGGTGGTGGTGCATGCCTTTAATCCCAGCACTCGGGAGGCACAAGCAGGTGGATCTCTGTGAATTCGAGGCCAGCATGGTCTACAGAGTAAGTTCCAGGACAGGCCCCAAAGCTACACGGAGAAACCCTGTCTTGAAAGACAAAAAAAAAAAAAAAAAAGAATCTCAAGCTAGAGTTGAACAAATGTGTAGGTAACTGACACACAGTATAGACAATAAAACCAAAGTATGAGTATAGACAGTTTACTCGCAAAATATAAAAACAAAAATATCTACTTAGCACATGATAAATACTTGCAATAAAAATTAGGTGAGACTATTTAAACAAAGTTCTCTGTACATTCATGTGTTTATAAGAAATATAAATATAACAGTGAAGGACATTTTAAGGGAATCCCTCAGAAGGAAGTAGGGATTTAGCACAATGGTAAAGCACTTACCTTTTAAGCACGAAACCTTAGATTCGGCACCACCCCACACCAAGAGAACAAAGATCATACATAGGCCTCAGATTATACTTCAGTGTACGTGTGTGTGTGCACATGGAGACAGACGTCTGCCATCAGGCGTCTCCCCTCATGTGAGAGCCCCACTCTCCGCCCAGTCTCCCAGCCCCTGAGCTCTAACCTGGTACGTCCAGAAGGCCAGTGCTCGGGAGCTGATGTCCAGCACAACCTCTGGTCGAAGCCCCGCCAGCACCATCGCTTTATACTCCTCTGACGGACTGAGTTCTGTGCGGACAATGTCTAGCTTTCCAGAAAGGGTGCTGTTGCAGGCAGGGCAGAGAGCTGGTGAACGACTGAACTCACCGCTGCCATGCTCATCACAGAAGATGTGAGAGCATGCAGTAACCCAAGCATAGCCAGAGAGCTTGAGTCGACATTTTCGATAATTGCAAAGCAACATGTCTTCGTACAAAGACATGGTAATAGTCTCCAGAAGAAGAATCCTAGCAAGGGATAAATGAAAAATGTCAAATTGTAATGAATATGAAATTTTTTATATGTACTTTTATTTTGACCAAAAATGGACATTTTTGTATTTATTAAAATGATATTAGCTGGGTGGTTGTGGCACATGCCTTTAATCCCAGCACTTGGGAGGCAGAAGCAGATGGATCTCTATGAGTTCAAGGCCAGCCTGGTCTACAGAGCAAGTTCCAGGATAGCCAGGGCTACACTGAGAAATCCTGTCTCGAAAAACCAAAAAAAAAAAAATTTATATTGATCTCAGCCTCAATATTGTGCTCTTTCCTTATACAAAGGCTGAGAATTCAGTTATACACAGATAATTCCAACTCTTACCAACACCAAGAATACGATGAACATGGCAAGTGCTTAGAAACATCACAAATAAATAAAAACGAAATCGCCCGTTGTGTCATTTCCAACACCAGAACAGAAGCACTCTGCTTGTAAGGCAGTGCTTGAGGTAGGAGCAGGCCGATCTCACAGCGAGTCCCAGGACAGTCAGAGCTGGTACTTCATGCTCGGCAAATACGAGGCTGCACATGACTGCAGTAAAAACTTTAACTGACACTCTTAGGGTTTTTTGTACATCTTGATTTCTCATATTCCTTAACAGAACTGCCTAGATTTTAAAAGACTAGCTGCCTGATAAAATTATATAAAAACTAAGCTAATTCATCTAAGATGAAGCCTGAAAATCTACATTAAAATGTTTGCTTAATAAAATAAAAAACAAAAGAGTTTGTTAATTTTATTATCAGTTAAATAATATATCTATCAGTATTGCTATAGTTTAACACATTTGCGGGTAATTCTTACTTTTCAGTATAGGGAGTAATTGCATTAGTAAGTCGTGTATTACATAAAAGCGGTGATGTTTCCTTAGCGGTGATAGCCACACCTGTAATTCCTGCGCTCAGGAGGCTGAAGTAGCGCGTACATTGTTCGAGGCCAGCCTGGGCTACAAGCAAGCTCCTGATTCAAAGGCAAAACGTATTCCCCACGCTGGGATGCCTCGCCCAGCCTGGATTCAGGGGTAGGAGCTTGGCCCTACCTCAGCTCGATGTGCCAGGCTTTGTTGCCGCCATGGGAGGCCTGCCCCTCTCTGAACCGAGGAGCGCGATGTGGGGGGGGGGGGGGGGGGGGGGGGGATGTGGTTGGTATGCAAAATAAATTTTAAAAAATTAATTTAAAAAATCTCCCCCAAAACAAAACAAACAAAAACAAACAATCCTACGTCGCCTTAAAGCCGGGTAACGTCGGTGCCGTCTGTCCCGCCTGTGTGCCTGCCCCGGGCGGCCCAGGGTCGTTCTCGGGTCCTCGGGTGGGGAGCCCGGCTTCGGAGGGACAAACAGACGCCTGAGCTCCCAGGCACCTGTCCTTCGTTCAGAGCAGACCCGTACAGCTCTCAGTTCCCACAGAGAAACGACGGACAATACCTGCTGTAAAGGGCCGCCTTCCTCGGTGAGACACACGGGATGTAGAGGCCACGCTGTCAGGGCGCATGCGTGGCGACCGCAGGGCCTGCTGGGCAGCGCGAGAGAGCTGCTGGGAAGCGCGAGGCAGGCACCAGGCAGGGTGCTGGGTGGCACGAGGCAGGCACGAGGGGGCTGCTGGGAGGCACGAGGCAGGCATGAGGGGGCAGACCAGTCGATGCTGAGGATGGCCGGCTGCTCTAGCCAGCAGTAACTGCTGAGGCGGCCCTCCGGCCCCAGGAGTCATAACCAGATGTCTTTGCTGGTAGTATTCAAATAGTTAAACGGGTTATTTTGTTTGTTTTCAAGATTTATATGATTTATGTACGCATCTGCATGTACCTCTGCACACCAGAAGAGGACACAGAAGCCGATGGAATTGGCTGTGAGCCACCACGAGATGCTGAGAACTGAACTCGGGACCTCTGGAAGAGGAGCAGTCAGTGCTTTTAACTGCAGAGACATCTCTCCAGCTCCTAAATACTGCTGTCACTTTGCCCTTCGGAGGTTACGTGGGTGGTTTCTGTGTCTGTCAATACTTTTTTCTAACTGAAAGTTAATAAAGCTGGGAAGAGGGACAGAAGGTAGCTAGGATGCAAACAACACCTTTTTCTCGCAGCCACCTTCTCAGAAGAGAAGACCCTGTTGAACTAATTATATCTACACAATGGACTCCAACCAGTGGATTTTTTAAGTTAGGAAAGCCCGGCCTTAGCTTGGCTTGTTTCTGGCCAGCTTTTCTTATGTTAACACATCTACCTTTTTCTGCTGGGCTTTTACATTTCTTTATTTCTGTATACCTTTCTTTACTTCTTTCTCCGCAGCTTGCCACACTCTGAGTAGCTGGCTGACTGGCCCCTGACGTCCTCCTCTCCTTGTTCTGTTGTTGCTCTTCTCTTTCCTCCCAAGATTTCTCCTTCTATTTACCCTCTCTGCCTGCCAGCCCTGCTTATCCTTCTCCTGCTTCATTATTGGCCATTCAGGTATTAGACCATCAGGTATTTTAGACAGGCACAGTAATTAACACAGCTTCAGAGTTAAACAAATGAAGCGTAAACAAAAGCGACATTCCCCAATAGGAGTGTGTGCTGGAGATACAGAACCTGGTTTTTATACATGTTAGGAAAATAACTAGGCTACAGCCATTAAACCTTATCCCGTCAATTAAAGAAATAGCTCAACAATTGTTCCCCCTGGCAACTTAACCCTACTGGAACAAATTAGTCAGGGGAAACTGGAGAAGTAAAGAAAAGTAAATGTTAAGTTTGTGGGAAGAAATAAAAGATGAGAAGGTAGCAGCCTCAAACTACAGTGGGCTTCACTCAATGAAACATGGCATCTCTAGTTCCAGCAGCCACTCAGCGACCGGGATGCAGATTAAATGCTTCAAGATGGGGCTGCTGAAGGTAAGGACAGAGACTGGACAAGTGGAGCTGTTTCCCTCAAACAAGCTGGTTCTGATATTGAGGTCCTGTAATCTTATTTACTCACTGAGTGTCTGGGGTTGGGGTCAGCTTTACTACTGTACTGGAAGCTTCCTGCTTCCTGGAATTCAGTTTAGGGCCTTAGCTTGGGGACAGGGTTCCTTTAAAGAGCGTCACGGGTAAACCATACACTACCTACCATGTTTAAGGTAACTGAGCCTTTCGAGTGTCTGCTTTTAACTGCTCCAAGCATAGAGTACAGATAAAGTACAATCTCACTTAAATCTCAGAGTACAAACACCCAGGTTTCGACAATATTTTGTGAACTTACTTCCGAGTCACTCTTATCAAACCTTTCTCGGACATGCTTCCAGTAATACATGTGTTCCCTTTACTTCTCCAACAGGCACGTACTAAAGCACACAGCTTTATTTATTCTTAGTAGACGTTGGTCCTAGGCTTTTATAATTAAAAACACTACTGACCTCTGTGTAAGTCTCCTTAACTGGACATGTAAAAAAATTACTATAGAATATGAAGCTGTGTTAACATAAAATTAGTAAACTATATGCTGACCCATAAATCCCCTGACAAAGAAGAGCTCGGCAGCATGTAGCGCTATCAAGGTTTGCTTTGTGCTCTTTTCAAATGATATGCAAGTTGATTCTGTGGCACTGTTCTGCCGAGCCAGCTTTCATCTCTGAGTATGCTCTACCTTGAGTGTGAAGAGTTTACCTGCTTTGAAACTTATTTATCAAGTGGGCCAGATGGTGGCAGCACATCCCTTTAATCCCAGCACCTGGGAGGCAGAGGCAAGCAGATCTGAGTTGTAGGCCAGCCTGGTCTACAGAGCAAGGACTACATAGAAAACCCCATCTCTGAAAGAAGGAAAGAGAATTGGACAAAGAAGAAGTTCAGTGTTTAAGAGCACTAGATTGCTGCTCTTGCAGGACCTGGGCTCGATTTCCAGCATTCAGGTGGTCACTCACTACTGCCTGTTAGCTCCTACACAGTTACCCTGATACCCTCTCTCCTGGCCTCTACCAGGAATGTAACCATACATCCAAGCAACACACACAAATTAAATTTTAAAAAAAAAAAAAGGAATTTATTTGGAAAACAAATCATTTAAATCCCAGGATCAATCACTACAGTCCCGTGGAATAAGTACTACTGTGGACAGCCAGCCCATCCTCATGAAGCCCCAAGAAGACAAGCCAGTTTTATAGACAGACTCAGGCTCTCAGCAGTGGGGAAAAAAGCTGGCCTGCAACCATATTATGAAGCATTTAGAAGACTCTGCTAAGTCAGGGATCAGGCACATGGAACAAATTACCTTACAAAATGATGACAGATAAATTTACTGCCAAACCAAGATTAATCCACTAAGAAAATATTACTTAATTATATAGGGATACACAATGTATCATTCCACACTGTGCCTAATTTTAGAATTTAGTAGTGGCAATCCTGAGTAGGCCATTTGGCAGGAACAGAATTTATTTTAACTGTGTGTGGGGGCCTTTTGCCTCTTCAGTTGTTTAGGAAAAGCACAGGCCCCCACGTATACAAAGAAACATGGAATATCAAGTTGCAGTAAGACTAATCTCCCCTTGTATTAAGGCGGGACAACGTGACCCAGTATGAGTAGGGTCCTAAAAGCCAGAGACAGGCCCTGCTCCCACCCAACTGTCCCATGTATACAGAGGGCCTAACTCAATCCCATGCAGGTTTTCTGGTTGTCAGTTCAGTCTCTGTGAGCCCCTAGGAGCCAGCTTAGTCAATTCTGTGGGTTTTCCTGACATGCTTGACCCCTCTGGCTCCTACAATCCTTTTCTTCAGCAGGATTTCCCACACTCAGTCTAATGTATGTCTGTGGGTCTCTGCATCTGTTTCCATCAGTTGCTGGAGGAAACCTCTCTGATGACAGCTGGGTCAGACACCAATCTGTAAGTATAGCAGAATATTAGGCATCTCCAGTTGTGTTTGGCTCTATCCTAGGTTTCTGGGCCATTCAGCCGGTGGCAGGGTGGGCTCTCATGGCTCTCAGGCTAAACCAGTCACTAGTCAAAGGTTGATGATGTCCCAGTCCCTCCACCAGGAGTCTTGCCTGGTCAGAGCTGGACAGTTCAGGCTTCAGCTGGAGTCATTACTTTTAGATTCCTGAGAACCCCTTACACTGGACTTCTACCTGACCCTGACATGACCCCCATTCCTTTCCAGTTGGCTTTTAGTCCTCTCCCTCCTCTCTCTACACACCCATCTGAACTCCCACATTCCCATCCCACCTCACCGCCAGTCCACCCTCAGTGAGATCTAGGTGTCCCCTTTGAGCCCCCCCCCCCCCTTGTTACTTAGCCTCTCTGGGACTGTAGACTCTAGCCTGGTTATCCTTTACTTTATAGCTAATACCTACTTGTCATATACCATTATCATCTAAGATATAACACCAGGAAACGTGCTGTTAAGTGACAGAGCGCACGCTTAAACCCAGTCCAGCTAGACGCCTGCTGTGCACCACTCTTCCACCTCGGGATCTTTTGACTTTGTCTGTTTAAAACTAAAATTCAAACAGCTGACCACAAATTACAAAGCAGTGTTTTTAGACTTTGTGTATGTCAAAATCTGTCTCAGGCTGGAGAAGTGGTTCAGAGGTTAAAAGTGCTGGCTACGGGGGCTGGAGAGATGGCTCAGTGGTTGAGAGCACTGCTTGCTCATCCAGAGGTCCTGAGTTCAATTCCCAGCAACCACGTGGTGGCTCACAACCATCTGTATTAAGTAAGATCTGGCACCCTCTCCTGACTGACAGGCATTCATGCAGACAGAACATTGTATACATAATAAATCTTAAAAAAAAAAAAAAAAAAGAGTGCTGGCTACTCTTTCAAAGTTCATGAATTCAATTCCCAGAATCCACATCGTGGCTCACAACCATCTATAATGAGATGGGGTGCCCTCTTCTGGCCTTCAGGCAGAATACACGAAGGCCGAACACTGTACATAATAAATAAATCTTTAAGAAAAAAATCTCAGTCTCAATCCTTACCATAAAAGAATGTAGACGCTCATCATCTGTTGTACATCCATGACTTACAGCATGAAGGAGCCCAGATTAGAGTTATCTCTGAATTTCTTGAATCCTGCCTTTAGTGTCTGGGGGGATAAAAAAACAGGGGGCGGGGGAAATAGTGTTCATAAGTTGTGTGTTCTTCTGAATGACGGGGAGACTAGAGAGCTACATGACGTCTCTTGAGGTGCACGGCTGCTCTTCCCAGCAGCACACAGTGACTCACAGCTGTCTGGGGATCCAATGCCCCTTTCTGGCCTTGGGCACTGTCCATGGCACACAGGCACACAGGAAGGCAAAGCACCAGTATACACAGAAGAAATATTTGAAGTGAAACTGTCAAACTCATTAGCTAACAGAATCACACCAGCTCGCAGTGCTTTTTCTGTAGTGATTCAAGTAGGATCAACTACATTTATCTCACATGATTACAAAGATCAAAACACAAAATGTTGATAGTATAAATCCTTTAAATTATGAATTTCCTGGGAGGGAAGGGCTGAAGCCAAGTAAGAAATCTGTAGCTGGATTCATTTACGTGTTTGCTCAGCACATGTGTATAATCAGTGTGATCAGCTGAAACACGGACTTGACATGTACTTCATCACGGCAAACTGAATGACTGAGGGAGGGCAAACTGTTGATGGTGCTCAAGCCAGGGAATCCTCAAAGGCCTTTGCAACTAATCTTCAGCCTCTAATAACATTGCATCCCTTATCTTTCAAGGTAAATATAATTATTATAATATTTACCTGTTATCAAATGAATCTAGCTTTAATCTTGGAATCCACGCTGAAATCAGAACTACTTAGCATCATCCCTGGAAAATAAAGATACACAGAGGTTACACATTACACTCACATAAAGCATACCAACACACTCCATGTGCCAAGTCACAAGAACTGAGTAACTGCTCACCTTTACCTGGCCCGCTGTTCAGTGCAACGGAAGGCCATGTGCGGCACACACCTGCCATCATAGCAAGTGGTCAGTTAGCTTAGGCCACAAAGAAGGACCTGCAAAATATAAAATTTTCAACAAAACCATAAGCCAACAATAAATTGGGGGAGGACCTCTACACAAAGTCAGGATTTTAAGAATTAAGATGGGGTTAGAGAGATGCTGTTAGAGCACTTGCTGACCTCCCAAAAGCCCTGAGCTCTGCTCCCAATGCTCACAGAAGTCTCACCAGCTCCAGTATGGCAGAGTAAGGAGGCTTTTCTTTTTCTTTTTTTTTTTGGTTTTTTCGAGTCAGGGTTTCTCTGTGGTTTTGGAAGAGTAAGGAGGCTTTAACTTCCTCTGCCATAAGTAAGAGCTTTCTTGTAATGGAAATAAAGTTCATTACCACAAATAACCTCCAACCTTCCTATCCTTCACCTAATTATGAACTAAAATTTTCCACATTGCTAGCAATTAACATTAAAATCGTTGTTAGATTAGTGGCAGGCACCAAAAGTGCTAGGGTGCAGAGCAAGAAAAGGGGAAAAACATACTAGGTGTGGGTTGCCCAGCATTCTGAGGCTGAGGGACGTTTCTGGATTCCAGATCAGTCTACCCAAACGAAAAGAATCCTTTATCAAGTAAGGCTTCTGAACAAGATATGTCTTGGGTAGGTATTAAAATTGTGGGAGATGGAGAGGTAGCTCAGAGGTTAAGAACACTGACTGCTCTTCCTAGAGGTCCTGAGTTCAGTTCCCAGCAACCACATGGTGGCTCACAACCATCTACAATGAGATCTGGTACTCTCTTCTGGCCTGCAGGCATACACAGAGGCAGAACACTGTGTACATGATAAATATTTTTTAAAAATTGCATGTGCAGGAGCTGGAGAGATGGCTCAGAAGTTAGAGCACTGGGTTCAGTTCCCAGCACCCACGTGGCAGCTCACTGCTTGTAACTCCAGGGATCTGACACCTTCACACCAATGCACATAAAAATAGTTATTTAAAAAAGAAAATTGCATGTGTAACTAAACACACACTGCAAGACCACTTAATTAAAATTAAGTTTCTGCTCAGGGCTGTAATCCCAACACTTTACTTGGGAGGCAGAGGCAGGAGAATGAAGTTCCAGGCCAGCCTATCTCAAAGACCCTATCTCAAACCTGTTCATCCAAGCAATAACAGTTGATTGTTCAGTAATTCTGTATTGCAATCCTGAACATGCAATATAGAACATTTACATCACTGCAGAAAACTCCACTGGAAATCCGGACCCAAGGGTTCATCTGACTAATAAGCTGATAAATTGACAGAAAAAAAGGGGTTCTCCCTTTAAAACTCCTACTGTAAGTACAACCAAATGTGGTGGCAAATACCTGTGACCAACACATAGGGGGCGAATCAGGAATCCAACCTGGCTACATAATCTGAAAAAAAATTCCACAATCCCATCTTTACACAGAAGTCTCTGCCTCCGCTAATTCCCGAAGGTATAACAATTCCGACTGAACTCCATGCTGTCCACTTTCACATGGAATAGCTACACGGAGGCTTCAGACTGCGAAAATGGCACACTGGTTCTGTGGGCAAGGAACGCAGTGGTTTAGACACACAAGTGTCCCTCCCATCACATAAAAATGAGATAAGTGAATTCAGGAAGACACAGCACTGTTTCTACAGTTTGAACAATGCCTATTGCTTCCAAATGCTTTTAAGTACCTCTAAATGCTTTTCACACTGTTTGAAAGGAACAATCACTATCTCTTAAACACCAATCCAAGGTCTTTCCTGGTGTTAAATACCCACCTTCCACAGTATATGGTTTCTCTCATGCATGCGTGTGCACATACGTCAAAACACATTATCTTCTAAAAATTTTATAAATATGCCATGACCAAAGACTGTTGGGTGTCATGGAGCTTTTCTTAATCCCAGCACTCGGGAGGCAGAGGCAGGCAAGTCTGAGTTTTAGGCCAGCCTGGTCTACATGCTAATGAAAGGGTATCATATTATCTTAGTTAGGGTTTCTATTGCTACAAATAGAAACCAAGCTATTGTGACAAAATACCATGACCAAAAACCAAGTTAGAAAGTTTATTTGGTCTGCGCTGGAAGTCAGACCAGAAACTCAAGCAGGGCCAGAACCTGAGGCAGGAGCTGAAGCAGAGGCCATGGAGGGGTACTGCTTACTGGCTTGCTCAGCCTGCTTTGGGAACCCAGAACCACAGTCCAGGGATGGCAACACCCACAATAGGCTGGGCCCTCCTCCACCCTACAGCTGGAACTCGTGGAGGCATTTCTTCACCTGGGGCTCCTTCCTCCTATGACTCTAGCTTGTGTCAAGTTGACACACAAAACCAGCCAGTATGGGTATGAACCTATAATACCAGCCTGAGGTCAGCAAGTTTAAAACAAGCTTGGATAATCTAGATTCTGTTTCAAACAACTGTTTACAGAGCTAGAAAGAATTGCAGCTCAGTCATACCCAGTGCCATAGGAAGGGGACAGGGGAGCAGCAGACGTGCAATGCAGAAAATCCGGGTCAAACAGGCACCTGCCTTCATAATCCCATCAGCCTTGAAACCTTCCTCCAGAGAATGTCCAAATCTAAGGCCACTTTCTAGATAGTCTGGGGCGTCCACAGGACGTCTGAGCCGGCACACGGAGTGCTCCAGCCCCAGCTCTTTCCTGGAGGTATTTCATCTTCAACCTGAAACCAGAGGACAGAAGAAAGTAAACACCGAGTTCCAGTTCCTACCCACTGCCAGCCGCTGGGCACAAGAAAACGTGCTTTACCAGGGACAGAATACAAAAGAGCACATATGACCAGCTAGGCAGCCCATAGCTGGAACTCCCCTTGCTGCTAACTTGCTATTTCCCCTTCTGTCACAGTTTCCCACCTTAGGGTTTACAATCTACTTTCTATAGATTACCTCGTTTTCCAAGTACTTTTTAAAAATATGCAAGGTTTAGAGAAAGCAAGGTAAGCTTGATGGTTAAGGAAACAAATTGTCGCTCTTGCCCCAGCTTTATTAAGGTCTAATCGACAAACAGCATAGTTGAATGGCCAAGTGTTTTGATCAGAGGCAACCGTCACCGCCACCCTCTATGGAGGAAGATGTGGTGAGCAACTTAAGTCCAGACATGCTGAACTTCCCCCACTGGGTCTAAGTTCAATAGTTTAGGCTCACACACAAGTAAGATCAAGAACAGCCCTTCAGGGCTGGAGAGATGGCTCAGTGGTTAAGAGCACTGCCTGCTCTCCAGAAGGTCCTGAGTTCAATTCCCAGCAACCACATGGTGGCTCACAACCATCTGTAATGAGAACTGTGCCCTCTTCTGGCTTGCAAGCAGAGTACTGAGAATACTGTATACATAATAAATAAATAAATCTTAAAAAAATACGAAATATCTTAAAAAAAAAAAAAAAGAACTGTCCTTCAGTGTGTGGTTCATTTCCCTTAGAAAACATCCCCCTGGTTTCAAAGCTGAGTAGTATTCCAATGTATGTACCACCTTAATCTGCAAATTAAAACAGTATTTTAGCCATTGCTAATGAGGCTTCAATGAACATGGGAATAGTTTTCTATGTTTGTACATTCCATAATATGTTTTTGTTGTGTATGTTTTTTATCTTTAGATAATGGTATCGAGGAGCCCATAGTAGCCTTAAACTCACTTGGGAGCCAATGGTGATCTTAAACTTTTCATAGAATTTTGTTTGTTTTTAAGACAAGTCTAGCTTTTCTTAGGCCATGTTGGCCTTAGAGACCAGAAAAGGCTGTGATCAGGAGTGTCACCACTCAAGACAAATCTTATAAGAATCAGACACTGTGCAAATGGAGACAAACCCTAGATAGGCAAGCATTCTAGAAGCTGACCTACATACCCTGCCCAGACAGTGGGTTCTGAAGGCAGACAGATTACATTTAATCAAGCTATTAAGACAAAGCTGCCTCAACTAAGCATTTCTTTAAAGATCAACGAGGTGACACATACTTTACACTGCAGCTGCGTGGAGAGAAATGTTTGATGTGGCTCTGTCACTTGTAAAGATCAACACACTAATAACAGATATTCTCCACGCAAAAAGCCATTGTTCACAGGAACTCTGAAGTCAGAAAGAAGACCCTCTAGCTTTAAGATCTTGTCTTTTAGGATTAAGGGACCCAAATTTGCACCTCTATTTCTGCTATCACCTACTTAACACAAACACATCTCTCCATGCTGGGATGGCAGGCTTTTGTGGATTTAAATTTAGGCTTGGTCCTCTTACCCACAAAACCTGCTTTCTAATCCCCAATGTCCTTCCTTCTTCTGTTTCTGAGATAGGATCTCACCATTTAAGCCCTGGGCTATCCTAGAAAAATGCCCAAAGTCGTCTTCCTTATGTGGTTAGTCTACTTTTCCTACCTTAGTCCTAAAATATGACTAACACCAGAATTATCAATTCTCCAGTAACTACGAAAGCATGCCCCTTCTGCCGCTGCGACCATGCAAGAAGCACATGGTTATTGAGTCCCTTCCCAACATTAATGTGCTCACAAGATAACCTATCACCACCCTACCTGAACTCAGGCTAAGTAAGGATTGTCAGCATGGTCTTTACCTATGGCATAAAACTCATTATTGCTAGCCAGGACTGGCTCCAAGGCAGCACCATGCACAAAATTGAAACAGGAAGCACTATAATATCTGTATCTAGATATCATAGAAATCTTTTAATACTTATTTGTGCATGAATGGTTTGTCTGCATGCACATACGTGCACCATGTGTTCCTGGTCTCCAGATCCCCTGGAACTGGGTCGCTGATAGTTGAGACATGGTATAAAAGCTGGGAACTGAATGCATGTGCTCCTAACTGCTGAGTCGTCTCACCAGACCTCAGACACCTAGAACCCTCTCAAACAGAATACACTAAAGCCCAACTCTAATGCCACACACACCAACTGACTTAGTGACTCATTTGGGGGAAATAGTAAGACCATAAGCTATTTAAATAACTACCAGTAAAAACAATAAATCATGGCACAGACACATGTGACAAGCATGTGGAGCAAAGCGCGGGGCATAGTTCTGTACAGAAAGGAGAAGTGGGCATGAGCACACACACTATGCACACAACATCCTTAGCTACACAAGCCCTGGGAAGACGTAAAAGCCTTCACTGTGCACTCAACCTATTCAGTCCCCAGCATTCACATAGCTGGTGTCCAAAGCTGTCAGTAACTACAGTTCCAGGGAATTCAAGTCCTCTCCTGGATTCTGCAGGAAGCAGGCACACATACACACATGCATTGTGTGTGTAATTATGGACTTAAAGACAAATGAGGCCAAGTATAAGGACATCAGAGCCACCAATGCCGATTAGTACATTAGTTAGGCTAGGATTTTTCGTTCTCACCTTTCCTGCCTATAGCAGCAACCCATGGGCCAGGTGTGATGTCCCATGCCTTGGATCCCAGCGCTCAAGACAGTTATAGAGGATCGAGAGTTGAGGCCACCCTGGTCCACATAGAAAGTTCCAGGACAGCAGGAGCTACCTACATGAGACTCTGTCTCAAAAACTTAATACAATTCAGCAAGGATGCAGAGATGGATCAGCAGTTAAGACTGCTTACCACTCTTGCTGAGTACCTGAGTTCAGTTCCCAGCACCCATGTTGGGCAGCTCAGTGCTGTAGGTAACACAGTTCCAGGGATCTAAAAGCCTCTTCTGGCTCAGAGAATACCTGCATACTGTCTGCATAAACCGTCCCCTTATGTACATACATAATTAAAAACAAACCCGTAAAAAAATAACCAAGTTTACATTCTGACTAGCATTTTAAAAAAAAGCGAACCTAGTGAGATCACACAGAAGATCACACAGAAAAAGTAGCCACAGTATGTTCTGTAAAGTCGCCTCTTACTTTACAAGGTAGTTACCAGTTACTGTACACCAACAAGGGGCTGGACTTTATACTTTTGTTGGCTCTTCGAAAAGGATGCCCAGAATGGCTCAGATAGTCTCCGACGTAACCGGAGCTGTCTCACCAGAACGGACCGTGGCGCTGCAATTTCAATTTGCACTAAGCTGAGATCCCTGGTCCTTCTCAATGTGTCTTATGTCTTATCCTCACAGGGCTAATTAAACACCTGTCCTCAGAGTTTGCTATCTAGTCTCATACATGCTCTGAGCAAATTCTACAGCAAACACTTCAAAAAGGATTTTCAAATCGGCCAAGGTCGTGGCCCCCAGAGACATTCACCAGAAAAGTAAAACACGGACTCAACTCACCCTCCCGGGGTCGCCCGAACTGACAAACCAACAGCGCTGGGGTAATAACGGTGCCTAGCAAGCAAAACGAAGTCAGGATTTCCCGAGAATGCACGTGGGAGAATCTATTTCTGGGTCACCAGGTCTCCGGACCCAAGACTGCCGAGACCCACGTGGAGACAAGCCAGGTAGTTCACCTTGCTGCCGGGCCCTAACCTCCCAAAACAGAAATCAATCTCCTCTGAACTCACAGACTTCAGCGCCGACCTGAAATAAAAGCCTGGACCCTGGGTAAACCGCTCAAAGGAAAGAGAACTTGAAAATCAGAGAACCAAATTGCTTGTACACTCACCAGCCCACCAGACAGGAGAGGTAGAGAAAGAATAAGGCGAGGAAGCGACCTAAGTAATGGACCTCCGAGTTTGATTGGTTGAGTCCAAGGAGCCGCCCCGCCTCCCTGACCTTAACGGGTGCTGCCGGACTGCAACTCTCTAGAAGAGAGCACAAAACACAAGCTATAAATGCTTTATAACCGTCCACGTAAGAAGCTGCATTCAAGTTAATATGCAAGCTAACAAACAATGATTAACATTTATTAACGGGTGGTTTAGTGTTTATTCTTTTTTTTTCTTTTTTCGAGACAGGGTTTCTCTGTAGCTTTGGAGCCTATGCTGGAACTCGCTGGCCTTGAACTCACAGAGATCTGCCTGCCTCTGTCTCCGGAGAGCACGGATTAAAGGCGTGCGCCACCACCGCCCGGTTTAGTGCTTATTCTTTAAATTAATGTTTGAATACTAAGGCTCCATTCCCTCGGGTTAAATTATTGTGGACGCCAAGAGGGAGGATTAACTGAATCACAGGTTGCCCTGCCGTTAGGTTTGCCCTGGGTGAAAGCTCTATTTACTCCCAGTCTAGACACGTCATTCCACAGAATGGGAAAGATTCAAGACGATGCTAGTCTACAGAGCTAGTTCCAGGACAGGGTCCAAAGCTACAGAGAAACCCTATTTCAACCCCCCCCCCCAAAAAAAAAGATTAGGAAGGATCTTCACCAGCACATCCAATTGAGGATTGATGTCTAAAATACACTGAAAACTAAAAAAAAGACATAAGAAAAACAAAAAAAAAAATCTAAACAAAGAATACTTAAAATGCTAATGGCTAAGAATCACGTAAACAATGTTCAACATCCTTAGTTCTCAGGGAAACACAAATCAAAACTTTCTTAATATTTCTTCTTACCACAGTTGGAGTCAGCCAAGATCAATAAAACAAGAGTTCATACTGGCAAGGATGTGTTGTTGGCAGGAGCACACGCTTGCACAGCCACTATGGAAATCAGTGTGTGGTTCCTCAGGAAGCTGGGAAGCATATGCCCAAAGCCCGCTTTATCCTACTACAGAGACACTTGGCCATCCATGGTCATAACAGCCAGGAATTAGAAACAGCCTAGATATCCATCAGCAGATGAGTGGGGGGGGGGGGGGAGTAGTACTATACAATGGATTATTAGTCATCTGTTTAAAAAAGAAAGATATTACAAACCAGCAGGTATGTATGGTGGCACATATCTGTAATCCCAGCACTCAGGACAAAGAGGCAGGTGGAACCTGAGTTTGAAGCCTGGGCTACAGAGTTAGTTCCAGGAAAAAACAGGACTCCACAGAGAAACCCTTGGAAGAAGAAGGAAGAAGAAGAGGAAGAGGAGAAATAATTATGAAATTCACAAGTAAATGATAGAACTAGAAAAAAAATCATCTGGAGTGAGGTAGCCCAGACCTAAAAAGACAAATATGTAATATGTCTTCTCTAATATGTGGATGTTAGCTTTTGTAGCCCAGGCTGGCCTCAAACTCAGAAATCCACCTGACTCTGCCTCCAGAGTGCTGTGGTTAAAGGCATGCACCACCACCCAGCATGGATATTAGCTTTCGAGCTTTCAAGAGTCATACTACAATGTGTACAACCACAGAGGTTAGCGACTCGGAGTGGGAGGATCCCCAAGGAAAAGGAAATAGAATATATATGGAGAAACAAAGACTGGAACAAGAGGATTAAAGGGGAGGGGGTGGAAGAGAGAGGTAAACAGGGAATATAGGCAGGGGCAAGCAACTAGGGGCATATGGAGACCTACTACTGTAGACGCTTCTTAAAGTGCATGCATGTATGAAAGAAATCTAAATGGAGTTACCAAATAACAGGGGTAAGACATCTCTTGCAACCAAGAGAAACCTCCAGGGCCAGGAATGGGTTACATGTAACCGAGTCCTTGGCCAAAGGGGCTCCATGGAAATCCCAAACAACCAAGTCCATTGCCAAGTATTGGTTGCTTTCTGCAAACAGATGGTAAGGCCCTATTGCTAAAAGTACTTAGATACGGCACTGAATATGGAGGAGTCAAGCTAGTGCCTAGCTTAAGGCGTGCATCCATGGTACCGGAAGGCACTCTGCACGCCCACCGTTGCAGGTTAGGGGTCCTGAAATGGTGGTCCTGGGGCCTTGATCAGGTGCGCTTTCTCTGCCAGTTAGAGAAAGGCGAGATAACCTGAAGTCTAACAGGTAGCAGCAAAGACATCTCGAGCACCACAGACAGAGTCAGCAACTGAAGAGAAGCAGAGTGGGGACTTGGAAAGTCAAAAATGCAATCTCTTCCCTAGGGCGGGGAGTTTTAAATCTTGTGAAGAGTTTTCTTCCCCTAATTTAGGGTTGGTCAGTTTGAAGAAAGCCAGAATGGTTGACTGGCTCAGAACTGCTGTGTGGCATGTCTTGACGAGGTCTTGAACGTATTAAGGCAGCCCAGCATCATGGAGCCTACTGGTGGGAAACAGAAGCCTACAGAACACTTGTTTTAAGGTACCAGGCTTTTGTCTCAAGCAAGGAGGGTAAGGAAGAAGCTAGCCATTCTAGAAATTTTACCATATTTATTACCTAGCCACACTCCCTCTCTATCTTCCTGCCTAATAGTGAGTCACTTCTAGTCTCTCACTCCTAGAGGAGAGAGGTGACGAACCCAGCTACAAACCCTTCAGTTACAATAGTGATCTCCATGATGTGCTGGTGCAACAGTGGTACAAGAGATGTTGGCGTAGCCAACCACTCTCTGGTAATACAGGGACACTGCACCAGGCAGACCCATGCCTAACACTGCTTAGACGGTCAAGAACTGAGACTAGATCTAGCACCTAGGGGAAAACCAAATGCCTTTGTTCTCCTAAAGGAATATAACAGCAAACAACTCCTAACAACATTCTAGTATACACATAGATCAGTGTCTTCCTCTGCCAACATCAGAGACGGGAAATAATACAGAAACACACACCTGGACAATGTGCAGAGACTGTAAAACATCCAGTCCTAAATGAGGGTCTTCATCAAACTCCTCCCCTCAGAGTCAGGGAACTATGTGGAAGAGGAAACAGAAAGACTGCAAAAGCCAGTGGAGATGGAAGACACCAAAGAAACAGCAGGACCAATGCACACAGGAACTCACAGAGACCAGGGCAGGATGCACAGGGCCAGGCCGGAGGGGGGCCAGCTCAGGACACAAGCTCCCACCCCTAACCAACAGGGTGTCTGTAATGACACCCGCTTACTGGGTATAGTTAACCACATTTGAGGGCAGGCCCTGTGCCCAGCAGTATATGTCCACAACACAAAACAAACTCTGGTATTTTGGGGGTCTTTTCTGGTCTCATATTGCTTTGTTTGCCCCCTTTTCACGTTACTGGTCTTTTCTTTTCTTTTTTTTTTTTTTTTTTTTTTTGATTTTTCGAGACAGGGTTTCTCTGTAGCTTTGGTGCCTGTCCTGGAACTAGCTCTTGTAGACCAGGCTGGCCTCGAACTCCCTGAGATCTGCCTGCCTCTGCCTCCCGAGTGCTGGGATTAAAGGCGTGCACCACCGCTGCCCGGCCACGTTACAGGTCTTTTGCTTGTATGTTATTGTTTCCAACCTTGTGTTTAATGAGCTTTTTGTATGTGACTTTGCGTGTATATGTCTCTTGTGCTTTTTCTTCCTTTTTTATTCTGTTTTGTTGTTTTGTTTTGTTTTGTTTTTGAGAGGGTCTGTCACTGTAGCCCTGGCTGTCCTGGAGGTAGGCATGCCTCTTCCTCCCGGAGTCTGGGTTTGAAGTCGTTCACCACTACGCCTGACCTTTCTCTTTTTTAAGAAGTTTTTGGGTTTGTGTGTATGTGTTTGGCATATGTACATGTCAGCTGTGCCTTTTAATTATTTATCTTTTAAATACCTGGTTTCTAAGTCAAGAGCGAGGAGACGTGGTGGGGAGAAAATCCTGGCTATCCAAGCATTCCTAGCTCTTCTGTGCAAAAAAGACTGCAAGCTTTTCCTGAGTCCTTTTGCTAAAGAAACAATGATTAAAAGTGCGGGCGGGGGAGAGTAGTCTGAATTGGGTTATGAGGCGCGTGCCTCACCTCAGCCATTGAACTCGCTCCGCCGGCCGTGAGTCTGTTCCAAGCTCCGGCGAGGGGGGCATCCGCCCACCATGGGGTGCGGGCCTCTCCTGCCCAGTCTGCCCGCGCACGGAGCCCTGCTCTCTGGGAACTCACCTCCCCACTCGGGGAGGGCCCGGTTAGGGCCGCGGAGGGCCCCAGTCTCAGACCTTCCCAGGGGCCGGGGAGTGACAAGCACCCAGCGTGTGGCCCCGCCGATGAGCTTCCTCCGCCTGGAGGGAAAGTGGGGCGGCGCTGCTAAAAGGCTCCGGAGCGGCCCGGACTTAACAGTTATGGTGGCTTCCCACGAGGCGCAGCGCCACTCATTTGCATGGCCCCGCCCCAGACAGGAAACCCGCGCCGGTCGTTTGCGTGGCCCCGCCCCAGACGGGAAGCCCGCACTGCCCGGCCGCGGAGGTGACGTCGGCCTCTCGCGACATGGCGCCTTGGCGGCGGAGAGCAGGCTGCAGGAGGCGAGGTGAGCTGCACCGTAACGGCAGATGCGACTGTCCAGTCCTGTTGGCAGCTGGTGGGCATGCAACTAAAAGCAGGTCTTCGTGACTGAGTCTAGCGCTGCCAAAGGACAAACGCGTACAGCACAGTGGTTAACTGCTTATGTCAGCTTTTTAATATACATCCGGTTTCACAGAGAAAAAAAATCGGATCTTGGAATTGTTGGCTGTGGGCTGCATACTGTGTTCTTAATTGTACCCTGTTAAATTACATACTGTTACTGTACACGATTTTACTTTTTGTACCACGAACTCCAAGGTTCTGAAGCTCCAGTGAGCAAAGCTGTCTGTAAGCTGGTCCAGACTGTAGGACACTTTACTGACCATGATTATATGATCTAAATTGAAGGTATTAAAGACCAGAGGTTACGGAACCCATGCCGCAAGTAATGAACTTTGAACATCTCTGCAAATTTATTTTGTCCTGTTTTATTAATATATGGTTTAGGAAGGATTGCTCAGTTTTTTCCAAGGCTGGTGTGACATTTATTTGTAAACGCTCAAAGAACATCTTAAGTTATTTCTTTTAAAAAATTATTTAATTTTTATGTGTATTTTGTGTGTATATATAATGTACAGCAAATGTGTGCCATTGGATACCCTGGAACTGCGGTTACTACAGTTGTGTTCCACCTTGTGAGAGATGGGACTTGAACCCAAATCCCCTCGAAGAGTGGGGGAACCTCTTCATCACTGGCCCATCTCTCCAGCCCCTTTAAATTCTTCAAAAGAATTGGTCAGAATTGGTCATATTGGCTCATGCTTTTAACCCCAGCACTTGGGAGGCAAAGAAGCAGGAGGACTCTGTGAGTTGTAGGCCAGCCTGGTCTACATAGTGAGTTCCAGAACAGCCTGGGCTAAGTAGACAGACCCTGTCTCAAAGTAAAGAGAAACTGTCACAGTGCTGGAGCGTTGGCTTACTGCTTAAAACACTTGTTCCTCTCGCAGAGGACCTGGGTTTGGATTCCAATTTACCCACACAGCTGTTCATTGCCACCTTCCCAGATTTTATGTCCTCTTCTGATCTCCTGGTGTGCCAGGCATTCGTGTAGTGCACATACATATTTACAGCAAAACACCAATACACGCAAAAATAAAATAATAAGCCGGGCGGTGGTGGCGCACGCCTTTAATCCAAGCACTCATTCAAGGCCAGTCTGGTCTACAAGAGCTAGTTCCAGGATAGGCTCCAAAGCTACAGAGAAACCCTGTCTCAAACAACAAACAAACAAACAAAATAAATAAATAAAATGATAACTTTTTAAAGTTCGTCAGCAGATTAGAGGGCAGGAAGACCTCCACTCAGGCAAAGCTGGTGCTGTGGCTTTAAGATAGGAAGGAATTTCAGAGTATGCAGGATGAACCAGAGCTGGGAGTTTATTAAAAGAGGTGTCCACGTACGTCTTAAGCACAGGGGTTAAAAGAGAAGGAAATACCTGGGAAGAAAGACCACAGAACATGAGTGTGGGCTTCGTAAAGAATTGCCGTTCACTCTCTTTATAATATACGCAAAATTTGCCATGTTTTACTCTTCAAAGAGTTGTTAAAGAATTTAAATGAGGTCACATTTTCTGAGGTGGATCTACAGAATCAGAGCGTCAAGGTCTAGATTATGAGGGATGCAGAAGTTAGTTTATCTTTATGTAAGCAATGTTCATGGTCTGTGTAAGACTCCATAGAACAGGAGAGAAATGAGCCCAGTCCCATTACCTTGCACGTTTAGGACATGAGCCTGTCATTGTCATTTTAACATAAAAGTATTTGAATATCTGTGTCAGCAACCTTCTCGTCCCCCTAGTTTTTCTTGTTTTTATTTTGCTTGAGTGTTGTTTAGCTATTAGGTCATCTTCGTTGTGTAGTAATTCTTTCCTTGTTCTTGCCTTTAGCTTCTGAAGTGCTAAATGATGCCAAGAGAGCTAAGAACAGCAACAAAGCAGTGGAAGACTCTCCTTCTGCCAAGAAAATCCGCACATGCCAGGGAAAGGGGCCTGTGGCTGGAGGAAAGGATGCAGATGGGACAAACGGCAAGCAAGGTAGCGAGCCAGGGAGGACATGGGCCAGCTTTCGGGTCTCTGAAAGGAGTGGGATGTATTTCTCCCTTCCCCCTTAAAGAGCAGTGAATTTCCCTGTTATTTGGGCATTCTGCAGTACCAGTCTACTGTGCCGAATTTTTGTTTTCATAGATTTGCTTTCATAGAAGACCCAGAGGGAAGGGCAGAGTTAATTTTGACAGCAAGTCAGCTCTTCTGATTCCCACATAAGTAATGCTCGTGCTTGTGTGTGTCCCTCAGAGTCGGTGAAGGCCTTGCTGTTAAAGGGCAAAGCTCCTGTGGACCCGGAGTGTTCAGCCAAGGTGGGGAAGGTGAGCGCCTCAGGAACAGGAAGTAAACGTCTTTGTTTCTGTGATTCCTAGCTAGAGTGTTGCTGGTGTTCCTTTTAAAGGTGCTTTCTGAATAATACCAGTGACTCATTTTCTCCAGTGTTGAGAAATACCGCGATGATGTCTATGATGTCATGCTAAATTAGCAGAATATTGGGCCTGGAGAGATGGCCCAGGGGTAAGAACATTTGCTGCTCTTCAAGAGGCCCTTCATGTGAGTTCGGTTCCCAGGCCCCGAAGGACACGTCTCAATCATCTGTAACACCATGTTTAGGTGATCTGATGCCCTCTTCAGACCTCCACAAGTACCAGGCATACATGGAGCATGCACATACATGCAGGCAAAACACTCATGCATTAAGGAATGAATAAATTTAATTTTTAAAAATTCGCAGGGTATCAACATGATTGCCCGGGGTTGCCATCAGCTTTCCCCGGCTTGTTTGCTTTTCACCCAGGAGTGTTAGCTTGTTCAGGGAGGACAGCATGGCTTTGATGAGAAGCTGTCGTGGGATAGCAGAAGTTACTGATGAAGGGGAAAGGATCTAGAAGGAAGCCTACTTAGAACAGGTTCTTTTGAGTTAGACTCCTTTTGGCCTCCATAATTAGAAGAATTAGTGTTGTTTCATTCTAATGATGACAGGCTGTGTACAGCATCCATTTCCTTTCTCTTCCAGAAGACAGATGTTGGATGTGTTGGAGAATAAGCCTTAATTATTGAAGAAACAAAGAGGGTCTCACTTTGCTCGTGAGACTGAATACCCTGATGCTGTTTTCTCTCTTCCCAGGCTCACGTGTATTATGAAGGCGATGATGTCTATGATGTCATGCTAAATCAAGTAAGAGGAAGTTATTTTAAGTGTGGGAATTTCTTTTTTATTATTTTTAATTACGTTTATTTAATGAGTATATTACATTTATTAATTGTGTGTAGGTCAGAGGACAGGTTAAAAGAGTCATTTATTTTCTTCTGCCATGAGGGTCCCTGGGGACTTGGCAGGAAGTGCCTCTACCCATCGAGCCCTCTTGCTAGCCCAGGCTATCTCAGAATTTCTTCATAATATAAACCACTCACATTTTTCCAGAATTGACGTTGGCTTTTTGATTATTACAATGTACTTTTTGCCCATGTTTAAGACTTTTTGTTTGTTTTGTAGGCTTTTCAGTATGTGTATTTTTTCTTTGTTTTGTTTTTGAGGCAGACTCTGATGAAGCCCAGGCTGGACACACAGTCTAGGATGACCTTCAGCCCCAATCTTTTACCTCCATCTTCCAAGTGTTAGGATTTCAGACATGCACCACCACATCTGGTTTTATGGGCCACCTGGGATCAGACGCAGGGTTTTATGCATGCTAGGCGAGCTAGGTGTTCCACCAACATTGGTTGTTTATTCCTTTATTTATTTTGTCATGGGTTCTCACTGTATGGCCCAGACAGGGCTTGAACTTGCAATCCCCTTGTTTCCGTCTCTGTGGGACTTGGATCCCGGGGGCACAGCTGTCTCACCCAGTCTATCCTGACGTTTTAATGTTTCATTATTACTGGGAATGTGTGATGGGAGGAGGCACATACCACAGCACATGTGTGGAATCCGTTCTCCATCCTACTGACCCTAACCCACCCCTTGTCTTGGTGCATATGTGTGTGTGTTTCTAAGTTGTCCTTACTAGCCTGGTAGTCACTCTGTAGACCAGGCTAGCCTCATGCTGACAGTAATCCTGCTGCCTCAGCCTCCTGGATGTTGTTAGGATTACAAGTATGCACTAACATTTTCTGTTTTTTTTTTTTTTTTTCCTTTTTCTCCCAGTTTGAGAGACCAAGTCCAGTGCCTTGTGCGTGTATATGCCAAGCAAGGCTCTCGCTGAGCTGCATCCCTAATCAGTCTGTTTATCTTCTCTCTCTCCCTCCTCTCTCTCTCCATAACTAGTCTTTCTGTTTATCTTCTCTCTCTCTGCCACTCTCTCCTTATCTCTCTCTCTCCTCTCTCTCTTTCTCTCCCCCCCCCCTCTCTCTCTCTCTCTCTCTCTCTCACACACACACACACACACACACACACACACACACACACACAGAGTTTTGAATAGATACTTGCCCTGTTCATTTATTTCCCAGAGATGACTCATACTTGAATTTGTTTACCTTTGTGTCTCTACATGAGTGGGTGTTGTTCTGAGTGCACATGTATGCTTGCATGGAGAAGCCAAAGGGCAAGTTCAGATGTTGTTCTAGGTGCCCTTGACTAGTTTCGCTTTTCTTTCTTTTTTTTTTTTTTTCTTGAAACAAGTCCTCTTGCTAACCTGTGGCTAACTTAATAGGCTAGGCTAGCTGGCCAATGAGCAGGCTCCAGGAATCTGCCTGTCTCTCCCAAGCAGTGCTGGGATTGCAGTGTGTGTCACCATGCTTAGTATTTTACATGGATTTTAGGGACTGAACACAGGGTCTTGTTTGTTTAGCTAGTACTTTACTGATTGAACTTTCTCACCAGCCACATACTTCAATTTATTGATCTAATATATATAATTCTAACAGCTAACGAGTATTCTTTTTTAGTACTTCTACCTTAAAACTATTTTAATCCGGGTTGGGAAACTGAGTCAGTTATACTTGCAGTATTAGCTCGAGGATCCCCAGCACCTAAGTAGGAGGCTGGGTACTCTGGTGCATACCTGTAATCCTAGCACTGGGGAGGCTAGGAGACAGGAGGACACATGGGGCGAGAGACCCTGTCTCAAACCATAATGTAGAATGAAAAAAATACCTTTGAAAGGAGCTTTCAGGACACTTCCATTAGTGTAGGGTGGGGGCTTTCAGAAGAATCCCATTAATGTAGGATATGGATTGGGGTAGGGAGTTCCAGGGGATCCCGTTAATGTAGAGTGTTGGGGTTGGGTAGGTGATTTCAGGAAGATCCCATGAATGTAGGGTATGGGGGTGAGTGGGGGGTGGAAGGATTCAGGAGAATCCCATTGATGTTGGGTAGGGGGTTTCAGGAAGTTTCCAGGATCCCACTTTTAATTCCTAAGAACCCATCATAAAGTTCCTGTTTCTATCCTTACTCTTTGGGATCTATTTGTTTTCATCACGCTCTGCTTTTCTTTTTGGCAATTACTGGCAAGTTATAACCAAGGAAGCAGCAATGGTTTGTGAGACTTCCAACTGTAAAACTCTCCTTTTATGGTATTATTCTCCCCCTTACCACAGACCAATCTCCAGTTCAACAACAACAAGTACTATCTTATTCAGCTGTTAGAAGATGATGCCCAGAGGAACTTCAGTGTCTGGATGAGGTGGGGCCGAGGTAAAGGCTTTGTGATGGATTGTGTGAGTAGCCATTCAGAAACATCTGTGAAAGGGCTCAGGAACCCACTTGGGTTTTTGAGGTTGGGGAGTGGCCAGCATCCTCATTAGGAAGCTTTGTGAGGCTGAGAAGACTCCGTCCATTGGACAGATGATCCTGCTTACAGGCTGTGACACTTGGCATCTCGTGTCGATAGGATCTATTGCCTGGCCTTTGCGTCTGTTGCCTGGCCTTTGCACCTTTCCTGTCCCTAAGCAGAGAGACCTCGGGGAGATGCCTCGTTCCTCCTAGAGCTGTACTTGGGGTCATGGGCACGGAACCATCTGTCTATGGCATTTCCTTTGCAGTGGGGAAAACGGGACAGCACAGCTTAGTGACTTGTTCTGGTGACCTCAACAAAGCAAAGGAGATATTTCAGAAAAAGTAAGTGCTGAAAAATGAGTTAAAAACATACCCTTCTTGGATCTCTCTTGTTGAAGAATTTCATGTAAGGATAATTGGGCCTAAATGTGGATTCCTTTCTACTCCGATGCCTTGTGATTAGAACATTAAATTGTGTCTTTAGTGACTAAATCAACCTAAAACCTCGAAAGTGACCATCAAGCAAAGCTAAGAAGTTAGAAACACTGGAGACTCTCTGCCTGGAGCTTTAAACTGCTCATGGCAATTCTGAGGGCGACTCTCTGGAGTCCAGACACAGGTTTCTCTGTGGGAAAGGCATTGGTTGTCTATCTTTATTTCATATATCAGTGGCTTCTGTGTTTTGGGACCTGGGAAACCTTATTCTCAATTTTGCTTGATTTCTTTGTTCCCGTTTTTCTGTTCATTCAGTGTCCTAATTTACAGTCACACTACAGAACGCTGGTGTGTGCCTGAGCTGTGAGGGGACATGGGTTGTTGGGAAATCGCTGTGTGCCTCCCTCTGGCAGTGGGCCTTGATTTGCGTGGTTTCCCCACTTCCTTGGACTTCACAGATTCCTTGACAAAACGAAAAATAATTGGGAGGATCGTGAGAACTTTGAGAAAGTGCCTGGGAAGTACGACATGCTGCAGATGGACTATGCTGCCAGTGTGCAGGTAACCCGACGCCAAAAGCTGTCTGCCAAATGAGCGCCGTCTAGCCAGGTGGTGGAGGCCAGTGCAAGAGCAGAACAGGCTGGGGTATTAGGAGTCACTGCTATCCCCACCTCAGATAACTCTCCCTCATCTTCAATCCCAAAGGGCTAGAAATGCCTTTCTGTGTCTGTGGTCCTAAGACTGCAGTCTCCCCTGCTGTGTACTAGAGTTTATGAAACCCAAGGCCCTGGTTCCTGAAGTTCGGTGTTATAGACCAAGAAAGGGCATCAGATCTCATTTCAGATGGTTGTGAGCCACCATGTGGTTGTTGGGAATTAAACTCAGGACCTTTGGAAGAGCAGGCAATGCTCTTATCCACTGAGCCATCTCTCCAGCACCCTGGCTTCACTTCTACACCGCTGTGAGGGGAGCAAGGGCTGGAGGTGCAGGTCAGAAGAATATTTGCCAAGCACACGTGAGGCCCCAGGTTCAAATGTGAGACTCACAAAAAGAAAGAAAAATAATTTTGACAAACTAAGGTTTCCAAGATACTAAGAACTTTCCTAAAACCTCATAGATCTGAAAATGAAGAAACTTTGTATTAATATGATCAGAAGGGTGTAGCCTAAGAGCCTTGTTTGCACACTTAATGACTTTGTTAGAAGGGCCATTTGTTCCTCCTCTGAGGGCTTCCCTGTGCAAGAGCTATAACAAGATGGGGTGGAAATCACCCTGGCTGCTCTAACAAGATTCCTAACGGAACGTACCAGCATGCAAACACACCGAGGATCACTGTAGCCCTGCTCCCTACGGGGGCTCTAACACACCCTTCAGATATTAGAAGTTGTGTTTACTTTGCTACAGGACGAAGATAAAGTCAAGCAAGAGGAGTCTCTTGAGACTTTGAAGCCAGAGTCACAGCTGGATCTCCGAGTCCAGGAGCTGATAAAGTTGATCTGTGACGTGAAGACAATGGAGGAGGTGATGGTGGAAATGAAGTATGACACCAAGAAAGCCCCACTTGGTAGGACTTGAGACTCTTCCGCAGCCCTGTGTGTCTCCTGGCTGCTTTAGTGAGCAGTCACGGATTGCTCAAAGCCCCGAGTGAGGCAGTGGCATCTGAGGGCTTGAGAGGGTAATGCTGTTTTGAAAATTGAGTTTTCACTGGGCAGGGGTGTATAGTTTATAGGAATGGGACCCTGTTTGGGGTCTGATCTCTGACTGGGCCTCCAGGAAAGCTGACGGCGGCACAAATCAAGGCAGGCTACCAGTCTCTCAAGAAGATCGAGGACTGTATTCGGAGCAGCCAGCACGGGCCAGCTCTTCTCGAAGCATGCAATGAATTCTACACCAGGATCCCACATGACTTCGGGTAGGGGTGTGCTGTTTCTTTCTTCTGCTACTCACTCTTATTCCGTAAGCAACTGCAGCAGCTGTGGTCCTCTTAATCTTCTATTCCTGAGGAAATTGTTACCTTAAATAGAACTGCATCCAATAAGATTTGTAGCTAGCTTAGATATGGGAAGTCGGCACTCAGGAAGTAGAGAGACGCCAACCTAGATAGAGCCTGTCGCAAGAAAATTGTAAAAACGAAAGAAGTATGAGGCGTAATTTCCCAACTTTATTAGAACCATATTCCTGACGTAGTGAAAATTAGCTAACTCACGAGAATGCATCTAGCCACTAAGTAAAACACTTTGACACTTTGTAAATCATCCCTCCTCCCATTCCTTTAAGATGACTCACCTACACAAATACCACTTTTCTGAAACCAAATGATTGATATCAAATGAATAAAACCCATTACCACCCTGTGTGTGTATATGTGTGTGCGTGTGTCTGTGTGTGTCTCTGTGTGTGTGCATGTGTCTGTGTGTATATCTTTGTGTGTGTGTGCGTGTGTCTGTGCGTGTGTGTGTTCGTGTGTGTGTCTCTGTGTGTGTGCATGTGTCTGTGTGTATATCTGTGTGTGTGTGTGTCTGTGCATGTCTGTGTCTGTGTGTGTGCGGTCCTCAGTCCTCGGGCCTTGTACATGTTACCCAGGCACTTTCCCTCTGAGCTACATCCTAGCCCAGTTCATTCTTCATCCTGGTCTTCATTGTTTCCATTTTCTCTATTGCTTTCTGTGAACTCCATGACTTCAAAGTTGCCCCGAATGGTCAAAGGGTTTACCCCTTCTAGGTTGTCTTCAGACTGCCTTATTAACAACAGTGTAGCTTATTTTGAAAAAGGATCCCATAGAAGAATTTCAACTCTAGTCCTGAACATGGAAATTTTGATTATTCATGATATGTCTATTTGTAGAAAAGCTAACGATAAATAACCAAATATCCTTAGTATGTAGGTGTGTGTGTGTATCGTGTGACATCCATAGTGGACAAGTACTGGATTAATAATTCATGAAAAACTATAATGGCCTCAAGGATGAGAATTGGAATTAAATGAAATCAGTCCCATACTCATACTGTGGACTTCCATTCAGTTAAGATTCCTGAAGTTATGAAGTCACAGAAATGGAGGTGAAATTAAGGGAAGAAAAGGGGAAGGGGTGGGTTTGGAGACAATTTTCCTGCCCCTTCGTGTAGTTACAAAAATACTCTGAAGGGACAGATTAGGTTGTACAGAATTAAATACAAACGTTAAGTTAAACCTTGAGCACTGAAACAGTTTGTAGCTTAGATACAGTTATACACTTTGTAGCTGAGGTACAGTCATACACTTTGTAGCCAAGGTACAGCCATACACTTTGTTGCTGAGGTACAATCATACACTTTGTCGCTGAGGTACAGCCATACACTTTGTAGCTGAGGTACAGCCATACACTTTGTAGCTGAGGTACAATCATACACTTTGTCGCTGAGGTACAGCCATACACTTTGTAGCTGAGGTACAGCCATACACTTTGTAGCTGAGGTACAATCATACACTTTGTCGCTGAGGTACAGCCATACACTTTGTAGCTGAGGTACAGTCATACACTTTGTAGCTAAGATCCAGTCATATACTTTGTGCTGAGGTACAGTCATTCCTTAGGTAGGACTCCATGAGTCTTCTGAGACAATACAGAAATACCTAGGAATCTCAAGCCCAAACATGAATCTAAAAAAATATATTCTTGAGAGAAGACTATAACAAAATAATATTTTATATTATAAATGATTTGAACCAGAATTTAATAATTCCAAAGTATACAAACAAGGGTTGTGTATATATGTACAGATATGTGTACCTGTAAGGAGAGGCGGTGAAAGGCAGATTATAAGCTTTTGTCAAGTTTCCTATGTGATTGCAAGAATCATTCTTTACTATTGAAATTTGTTTAAAAAAATCCAATTTGAAGAATTTCCTTCCTGCACTCCTGTAAACGGAATGTTGGTGTGATGTATTAGTGGTAGATTTTACTGTTTGTGTCACACCAACACAATACAAACAGTGTGTATTCACTAGTGGATATTAGATGTAAAACTAAATATGTGTTTTATCCTTCTTAGAATGTGCATTTAATATCCCTTTATATATTTAGTCTTTGAAGTCTTTTCACAGGACTTTCTCTTTCAAATAGGAAATCTTGATTTTATGTAGTCCTGGCTGCCCTGGAACTCATTCTGTAGACCAGGCTGGCTTCAAAGTCACAGAGATCCTCCTCTGAGCACTGAGATTAAAGGTGTGCGCCACCAAGTCCAACTTTTTTCTTTTTCTTCAGTAAGAAGACATACCCGTTTCCCACAGTACCTGTTTTTGTCCTGTACCGTCTAGCCACACACCAGACACCTCACACTGGTTGTCTCTCTGTTCGTAGCCTCTCTACCCCTCCAGTAATCCGGACGGAGAAAGAGCTGTCGGACAAAGTGCAACTGCTGGAGGTGAGCCGTGAGTGCCCGGGGGATTCTCAGACTCAGCCTGTGCTCGTTGACATCGCTTCTGTGTCTCCTTCTCTTAGGCGCTGGGAGACATTGAAATCGCCCTTAAGCTGGTGAAGTCAGAGCGCCAAGGCCCTGAACACCCGCTGGACCAACACTACAGAAACCTACATTGTGCGTTGCGCCCTCTGGACCATGAAAGTAACGAATTCAAAGTAATGAAAATAGTCATTTATTTTCAGTCTTACTCCAGTGAAGCCCTTCCTTCCCATCCCTGTATTTCCCGGGAACTTGGGAGTGTAGAGCTCTTTCTTACTGTGTTGTGAGCCCTGCATCCTTCAGCCCGGCCTCGTACAGGGGCTGCACCTGCTGCGCTTCACTCTTTCCACAGGTGATTTCTGAGTACCTGCAGTCCACCCACGCGCCTACTCACAGGGACTACACTATGACCTTGCTGGATGTGTTTGAAGTAGAGAAGGAAGGGGAGAAAGAGGCCTTCAGAAAGGACCTTCCTAACAGGTCTGAGTCCAGCTCAGGGTCGAGCAGACATTTCCTCGCCTGGAGTGTGATGAAGGAGGTTGGACGGTGGCGGAGGCAGCTGGTTGGTCTGTGTGTTGTATTCAGGAGAACAATGGAGTAGAATAACGGGTCTTTCTTAGGATGCTACTCTGGCACGGTTCCAGACTGAGTAACTGGGTGGGAATCCTGAGCCACGGGCTTCGAGTTGCCCCACCTGAGGCTCCCATTACAGGCTACATGGTAAGTAGAGACTGACCTCTAGAGGAACCCAAAGGGAAAAGATAAGAGTGATGATCTTGGTTCCCCAGCCCATATCAGGATTAGGTGGTGCTTCTCTGAAAGAGTTCAGGCAGCTCACTGATAACCACATCACCTCTTACCATGTCCTCTCTCTAAGTTCTGAAAGGAATTGTCTCTTAGGGTCTGAAGGCAGAGCTGTGTGGCCGTCCTGGTGTCTCTGGACTGTGTAGGAAAGGGCAGTGGGGGAGGAACCATGTTGTGTTTATGAGAATGGACCCTCACGGTCAGTGCTAAGTTTTCTTCTCTATAAATTTCTTATCATTTTCTGCTGCTGGTTTGAGGCAGGGTCTCACTGTGTGTGACCTTGGGTGGTTTGGAACTTGCTGTGTAGACCAGGCTGGCCTCAAACTCAAAGACCTGCCTGCTTCTGCCTCCTGAATCCAGGGGTAAAAGGTGTGGACCACCATGCCAGGACCTTCTCATAATGGATTAGACAGCTGATCTCCACTTTTGTTGGTGTTTCAGTTTGGGAAAGGCATCTACTTTGCTGACATGTCTTCCAAGAGTGCCAACTACTGCTTTGCCTCTCGCCCGAAGAACACAGGACTCCTTCTCCTGTCAGAGGTAGGCAGGGAACACAGCTATGACCGCTAGTTCACTAAGAAAATTTGACTTTGGATTCAAGAGTTACACCCAGAATGGGATTAAAGTAGGGAATAAAATAGAAATGGGGATGTTCTGGGGATTTCTGGTCGGCTTTGGAATGGCCCACCCTGAACCGGGTATAGACATTCTGGATCTTTTCCCTTGCAGGTAGCTCTAGGCCAGTGTAATGAGCTTCTAGAGGCCAATCCTAAGGCAGAAGGATTGCTTCAGGGCAAGCATAGCACCAAGGGGCTGGGGAAGATGGCTCCCAACCCCGCCCACTTCGTCACCCTGTGAGTACCCAGAGCTAAGGCTGCTGGCAGACTTCTTTCAGTTTGTTAAGAATTACTTGTCCGTTTCAACTTCTGGACCAAATGCTGATGTTGACACATTTTCTTCAATTTGGCAGGAATGGGAGTACAGTGCCCTTAGGACCAGCAAGTGACACAGGAATTCTCAATCCAGACGGGTATACCCTCAACTATAATGAGTTTATTGTCTACAGCCCCAACCAGGTCCATATGCGATACCTTCTAAAGATTCAGTTTAATTTTCTGCAGCTGTGGTAAATGCTGATCTGATAAGCAAGATACAATCTTCAAACAAAAACCACATGTTGTTAACTTTTTGATAATTTGTTTAATAAAATAGCGTAGCTTTATCTCTGACTTTGTGTGTGTGTGCATGCTGGTGTGCACATGTGGAAGCCAGAGGACGGTTGCCGGATGTGCCCCAGCACTCTACGTACTGCCTCGTCTTGTCTGTTTGCTTGGTTCCCGGAACTCACTCTGTAGACCAGGCTGGCCTCCGGCGCAGATCCACCTGCTTCTGCCTCTGCAGTGCTGGGATTAAAGGTGTGCACCACCGTAGCCTGGCCACACTGTCCTCCTGAGACAAAGGCTCTCACTGAATCTGCAGGATTAAAGGTGTGCACCACCGTAGCCTGGCCACATTGTCCTCCTGAGACAAAGGCTCTCACTGAATCTGCAGGCTGCTGGCCAGCAAGCCCCAGCAATTCAATCCTTTGCACCTCAAAATGCTGGGATTACAGATACATGCAGCCATACTCAGCTTGTCCTTTAGATTTATTTTTAAGTAGGTGTATGTTTCTAAACTGTGTGGTTATATGCACATGAGTGCAGATGCCAGCAGAGGGAGCTGGATCCCCTGGAGCTGGCCTTACAGGGCCCTGGGATGACTGATCTTGGTAAATCAGCTTAACTACACCTGGAATCAACTAAACCAAGCAGCTGGGCATACCTATGAGGGATTTTCTTGATTGGATGAATCACCTGAGATAGAAAAAGTCACCCTACAACTGGGCCACAGTTTCAGGTAGCAGTCCTGTTGTGGAATATCAGCTTATGTAAAAATGTGTTCCATTTGTTTATGTCATGGAATATTAGTGATATAAATATGTGTTGCATTTGTTCACCTATATGCCTAAGGAACCTGATTAGTCTAAAAAAAACTAAATAGCAAGAAGTATAGGTGGGACTTTGAGGCTAGAGAGTAAGGAGGAGGACGAGTCAGGTTTGAGAGAGAGAGAGGGAGACACCAGAGGCCAGCCAACCAGACACAGGAAGCAGGGAAACAGGGAAGTAAAAAAGCAGGACATGCAGAGTGAAATAAAGATAAGCAGCCCCAAGCAAAACATAGATGAATAGAAACAGGTTCAAGTAAGTTGTAAGAGCTAGTGGGACAGGCGTAAGCTAAAGGCTGAGCTTTCATAATTAATACGAAGTCTCCATGTTGTTATTTGGGAACTGGTTGGCAGCCCAAAGAAAATTCCAGCTACATAGCCCATGAAAGGGCATGGGGGAAGGGAGCCTTTACTTTTGGCTGCTCTTACACTTTCTGGCGAGCTCATCTCCTGTTACTGAGGCATTCTTTGACTGGTCTTTGAAGCTCCAATGTAGACTGAAGACCAGGAGCATTCTAGGTGTTTCCTAGGACTCCAGCGCCTGACTGAAACTCTAAAACATGCAGCCTCGCGGACTGAACAACCATTGCATTCTTGGCCAGTGAGAGATAGCTATAGCCTGTAAGCCATTGTAAGTCTCTTTAAAATCATAAAATAAAAATACATAATTATATGTATATATTCATATATATTCACTCATTCTCTCAGTTCTGTTGTTCCTTTAGAGAACTCTAATATAAGTCCTCTGCAAGAGCCATCTCCTCAGAACCCAAACACTTATTTCTTCTGATATCACTTTATATCATTTCCAGAAAGACCCCGTTCTCTCTGTATCCCACCGCTGTGGCAGGTTACTCTGGATTCTGTCCTCACTGTATGCAGTCCCCTCACTGAGGGACATTAAAATGCTTTATCCTGCTAGATCCATTTTTTTCTGCCAAACTTTGTCTGTTAAATGTTACTGTAGACAGAGTACAGGTTCTAAAGACTCACTTTTCCCTTCAAAATCGTAATTATCCCAATTCTATCTGATATCCTAGTCGTCATCAAATGTCTTATCTATTATTCGTGCTTTTGTTTCTGATTCTCCTTTCAGAAACAATAAATAAATTTCCTAGCCAGGCATGGTGGTTCACGCCTTTAATCCCAGCACTTGGGAGGCAGGGGCAAGCATAACTCTGAGTTGGAGCCAGCCTGGTCTTCATAGTGTCTCAAAAATAAATAATTTCCCTCCCTCCTCAACATTAACATAACCATATGACTTCTCTGCTAACGTTTGCGAAGCAATGTGTGGGAATTGTGCCGTATTTGTTATAATTATGAAATAATCAGAACTGTGAGTTATTGCCCACGGTTGATACACAAAACACAGATCAGTGACGTAGGTAGAGTTCCTTTTCTCTCACTCATAAGAACAGCATTTTAGGAAACCAAGGAGGTTCAGAGAAGGTCTGTCTTCATTATTTCCCACTCTGTGTATTTACTTATGGGGACAGGGACACACAAATGTATATTCTATGGTGTGCACGCAGAGGTCACAGGACAGTTTGCAGGAGTTGCTTCTCCTCCTGTTGTGGGCTCTGAAGATCAAACTCAGGTTGGTAGCAGGTGCTCTTACCCGCTGGGCCATTTCACTGGCCCCTTCATTTTGTGATTTTGAGGCAGGATCTCACTCTATGTACCCGGCTGTCTGAGAACTCACTATGTAGGAAAGGAAGACCTTCCTTCCTCAGCCTAAGCACAGAAGGCAGTCATAGACCACTATGCTTCACAGTGACTTTTACAGAGCTGGGAATGGTAGCTCACACCATTAATCCCAGCACTCGGGAGGTGAAGGAGACTTCGGCAGATCTCCAAGAGTTCAAGCCAGAGTCTTGAAAAGCCTTGGGCATGGTCATTCCACTTGTTAACACGTTGTAAGCTTTATGGAATCCATGCCTCCCAAATGCTGGCATTAAAGGTGTGCACTACCACCAGCTTTTTTTTTTTTTTAGAACTGTTTAAGATCCGCTTCTATTTTATGTGTATGAGTGTTTTGACTGCATGTATGTCTGCACCACGTGCATTGTCTATGGAGGTCAGAAGAGGGCAATGAACTGTAGTTACAGCCATTTGTGAGCCACCATGTAAGCACTGAGAATTGAACTCCAGGTCTCTATGAGTGGCCAGTGTCCTTGACCATGGAGTCATCTCTCCAGCACTGTGAACTTCAATTTGAGGGAGAAATGGTCATGATTTCTTCCAAGAGTGTCAATTTGTCTATCAATGAGTACTTGCAAGTCAACTACAAAGTCAAAAGACTCATTCTGCCTTCAGGGCCTTGGTTTCTCTCTCTGGCCATTTTATTTTATTTTTTTTTAAAGATTTATTTATTTATTATGTGTACAGCATTCCTTCCATGTGTGCCTGCAGGTCAGGAGGGGGCGCTGGGTCTCATCATAGATGGTTGTGAGCCACCATGTGGTTGCTGGGAATTGAACTCAGGACCTCTGGAAGAGCAGTCAGTGCTCTTAACAACTGAGCCATCTCTCCAGCCCTCTCTGGCCATTTTAGCTCTGAGAAGGAGCCCAGCACTGCCCTGGGTCTATCCATTTTCTAAATGCTCACAAATCTATTGACTTTAACTCATTATTTCTTGCTTCCTTTTGATGTGGGAGAGTCTTCTGTTTTGTGTTGATCTCATTGGTTAATAAAGAAACTGCCTTGGCCCTTTAATAGGACAGAAAATTAGGTAGGCGGAGTAGACAGACAGAATGCTGGGAGAAAGAAGCCAAGTCAGGCAGTCGCCATGATTCTCTCACCTGACACAGACGCAGGTTAAGATCTTTCCTGGTAAGACACACCTTGTGGTGCTATACTCATTAGAAATGGGTTAATCTAGATGTGAGAATTAGCCAATAAGAGGCTAGAGCTAATGGACCAAGCAGTATTTAAAAGAATACAGTTTCTGTGTAATTATTTTGGGGCATAAACTAGCCATGCGGGCAGCTGGGTGCCGGGGACGTAGCCCTGCTGCTCATATTACTACATCCTTTCATGACCAAACAAGGTTCCTCCATTCTATTCAAACTAAGTACTGTTCAACAATGCTCTCGTTCTACCTCCTGGCGGGAGTGGGACTTAAGATCTCCATGAGAAGGGGGCACAGGACTCCAACCTGCCCATAGAGATGTGGTTTATGTTCTTGCAGTTCTAAGAAGAACGAACGCTAAGTTAGAGAACATCCATACCCCTCCCTGCTGACACAAATCCACAACAGGACGCAATCAGGGTATACTTAAGATCTTCCAACACTTTATTCTTATAGTCTCATCAAGAATGTAGACACTGGTGTCTTCTGGTTTGCATCATCCAGTACAAGTGATGTCACCTTTGTCCTGAGAACTGCATTCTCGTTCCCAAGATAGGAAATACAAGTTTCCTTGTGTGTCACCCACGGCAAGCTGCAGGGTAGAGTTGGGCCCCAGGCAAGGTTCTAGGCAGCTCACTGGCCCATCACATCGGAATAAACCCAACTAAAACAGGAGCAGAAATGGGAGAGGTGAAGCTACAGGCCTGGGATCTCCCTTAGAAACAGGCCAGTGCAGGAGCACACACACACACACACACACACACACACACACACACACACGCACTTACCAGCTGCATACTGGGTCTCGCCCACAACTTAACATCCTTGTCCTTCGAAGCAGTCAGCAGCAATCCAGGAAGTACGTGGAGGGCTGTGACTGGGCCCAAGTGAATCTTAGAAAGGAGAGGAACAACATGACTTCTCCTTTCAATTAAGGAGGCAGCGAAGGCTGCCGCATCGACCGGTAGGACCCCCCCACCCCACAAACACCCAATGACTCATCCCACAGCTTACCTTTTTACCCTGGCGTGCCTTTAAATGTCTGGGTTCTGGCCAGCTCTCCATATAGGAATTTGACTCAGAGTTTGTCCCTGGAGTTTTAGGTGTTTCTGTTTTTGTCTGCCAAATGTTATCTGCAATCCATTCTCCTTCCGGGGTGCACTCCCCTAAGCTCCAGAGCATTCCATCAGAGGTGGCACACAGAAATGATGACTCTGCCATTTTGAGAGCAAAGTTAGAACACCAGGTCTCAAGTCTTTAGTACCCTCAGCCCCCCAAGCCACCCCAGAGCTCCTCTGGTCTTCCCACTCCTACTAACCAGACTCAGGTTTGGCCTGAGTGATTGATATTGGGGATCCATTAGGATTCTTTAAGTTCAGACTGAAGA